CCATATACCGGGAAACCTATGCCTGGACAAAAGACTTGAAAACTCTTGTGCTAAAAAAGCTAAGGGAAGGGAACGGGGCAATAAACATGGTTTCAAAAGAAAGGGACAACCCCAAGGACACCATTTCGTCGTTTACCCTGAGACTGGTTTTTTTTTTAGAAGAGCAGAAGTAACAGAAAAAACAGACAGGTCTCAACCAAAACATGCCTTCTTTTGACACACCACGCACGGTCGAAATGTGTCCTCATAACGGCGCTCCACAGATGGTAGTCTCCATGCCTCCTGAAGTTCTTTCCGAGAAGAAGATTCCAGAGTCTGTCACAGGCGCTGCGGATGTCTTGAACCCGTTGACCTGTTCCAGACCTGTAGGCTTTGATGACCTTCCTCCTGTCCTTCCACGGTATCCCGGAGGCGGCCAGTTGTTTGAAGAATAGCGGGTCCACATACTTTTTCCGCAGACACATCCCGAAGAACGCCACGTCGGCTTCCAACTCCGTCATCCGACGTCCCATCTTGTCCAGTGCCACGTACATACGCTTGGCTAATTAGAAAGGCCGGCGACGACGAAAACGTTACTGCTCTTCTAAAAAAAAACCCAGTCTCAGGGTAAACGACGAAATGGTTGACTTCCACCAGCTAGCCTGTACTTAGACTCTTTCCCCAAGAACAGCTCGGTGGGGCTGCGTTCCGGGTCAACGAGAAAAGAAAGCTTTCAGCAAAGGTGCCATTTTTTTTTCCCGCAGCTTGAATTCGGTGTGTTCCGGTTTTTAACAATTCAGAAAAAAAAAAAAAAAAGATGCCTCGGGGGTTAATTATCGGTATTTATCAGTATATACAGAAAACACGAAACCCTACTTATAACCCTCCAAACCTGAACAACAGGGATTAGTCACACTGGCAGGAAATGAGCACCGAAAGGGGCTGTTGCTATCGTTTGACTCGGATTCGTGGATCGCTTTTCAAGCTATTCTGTGACAGGCTCACGACGAGCTACGTGCTCGTGGGACAGTCCTATGTCTATCTTTACTTTAGCCACGTGATTACCCTTCCGTCTGTACACACGAGCAGGGAACGGGGTTAGGTGATGAAAGGGAGGCGGTTCATTGGTTCGGTGAGCGTGTAACTCCTACAGCACTGTCAGCTCAAAAGTCAACGAAGATTTTTTTTTATAGGTCCTGCGGCGTTGAGCTGCTACAGGTGTGTGTGTGTGTGTTTTTTTTTTTGTGTGTGTGTGTTTTAATTTCATTATGCGCTAAGCTAAGTTTTTGCGACACGGTGTATGTTCAAGAGCACAGATATGTCACCAACAAATGAGGACGACTGAAACTATCGATAGTACTAGATACTATGTATAGTGGACGCAAAATTTAAATATCGATAGTGCTATCGACAGTTGACTAACGCAAAACTATCGATAGTCGACTATAGAAAATCTATCGATAGTCAATTTTCATAAAACTATCGATTCTCGACTATCGTGAAACTCGATAGCATACTATCAATAGTCGACTATCGTGAAATTGTTTATAGTCGACTATCGTGAAATTGTTTCTAGTCGAATATCGAAAAACTATCGTAATGCTATCGATGGGGTTTTATTAGATGACAAACAAAGTACGTCCAGGAAATGTCGTGTGGCTCGGAGAAAAATGCAATTGCAATTGGAGACTTCCGCATAATTATCGAGGTACAATCTAAAACCCACTGGAAAACAATCACAAAAAGGTAGGAATCCTCCTTCGAAACTATTGACAATAAACTATTAAATGGGTACTTCAACGAAATTTGAAATATACCCGTCGTGTTCAAAAATAGGTTGAATATGGTCCACAATATCCGCAAATGACAATCGGGGTGTAGGACAAAATGGTCCCGGTCAAAATGGTCCCGGACAAAATGGTCCCAGGTGAATTTATCAATACTTTGAGAGCTCTTAATAGGACGAAATGGTTTGGTACTTTGAAATTTATTTTGACCCACGTTCAAGGATAATATTAGTTTTCATTATAATCATTTCAAACAAATTTTTAATCCCTTCTATCTATCCCATGTAGCTCCATTTCTCAAAGGTTCTTGATTTTTACCGATACATTCCACGTGTGTAATAAAATATCTTTCTATCGCCAGAACCTGTTTTCAAATTAGCGCTAGCGAGCTTCAAAACGATATCCGGAATGAAAATTATTATCACACACGTACCACAGGTTCTTGACGTGGCTTTCTAAAATGAACCTGTCGTACCACTGTGTTCCGTTCTCCAGAAACAACATCGCTCTGTCTGAACAATGTATAAAAGAAATCAAAAATTGATTCCGCAAGTATGAGCGTATTTATTATATGGACCACTTAAGAGACAAGAAGTCAACGCTCTTGAAGCGGAGGCCTAATATACAAATGTATTGATATGACCCACACCTTTCAAAAAGTCGTTCAAGGGACGGAGCCCTTGCACGTACTGTGTGCACAAGTTACAAGCCGCTGCTGCATCTCTTTGAAGATTCTTTTTGTCCTCTTCCTTGGTGGGTGTCTGACAATTTCCTATGTCATAACCGTAGTGACAGAGGATTGTTGAGACTGCAGAGCGTCGATCGCCCTCCAAATGGTGGGATGGCAGTGCCCAACCATGCTTGAAAAGTTCCTGTTCCAGGCTTCCGCAAGGTTGCTAGTCCTGTGGTCGCCGGTCATCGTTGCAACGTGCACGTTCCAAATCCTCGAAGGAAATTGAGGTGCACATCTTCGGAGTCTCACCGTTCCATTCCTCGTGAGAACTCTGAGAAACGTACTGCTGGCATAGGTACTGTCGAAGTTCGTATCGAGGAATTCTCCCGCTTCTGGCGGAGCTGTGTTCTGCAAAAACTCAATGCCACGTGCGATGGTGTCCAAGGGGAGGAATGCCAGTCCATTCATTATGCCAACAAACAGGCGAAAGACGTCGCTCTCCTTATAAGGGGACACTAGCGACAGCTCTTCAATTTTTCGCCATGTGCTTTGGCGAAAATGAAAATGGCATCCTCTTATTCTCCGAACAGAGCACGTGCAGAGTTCATAGCAGGAGTCTCGAAATCGGTGATGACAAGACATTGATTTGGTGATGTTCCGGTGGTGGCTTCCGCAGCTGCGACCACGGCGTTCAGTAGTTCCTCGTATGGGGAAAAAAAGAAGCGCAAAAAATGAGGGCCTACAAGGGGGGATACAGAGCCCTGTTTATTATTCGACTATGCCAACGATGTGTCTCTGTATCCCTCGTGCTTGTTCCAAGTTTTTTTCGTGCCGTTTTTCTTTGGACATAAGTATTGATTTATTGCACATTGGCACAACCACTTGACTGCAATTTAGTTAAAGTAAAAAAGGATTAGCGTAGTGTTTTACGATTATTTCCAAAACTATTTTTTAAGTCAAGAGTAGAAAATATAAAAACCTGCAAACAGCAAATAAATAATACCACGCTGGGACCATTCTGTCCGGGACCGTTTTGTCCGGGACCATTTTGTCCGGGACCATTTTGTCCGGGACCATTTTGACCGGGACCATTTTGACCGGATCCCGTTAGCACGTTTGTATTTTGAGCCTGGTGGCTGTATTTTTTGTTAAAAACGTCTGGCAAGCACTCGGAAAGCAACCAGCGGAGAGCACTAGAAATCCGACACAATCGTGACGTAGTTCGTCGCGGGACGAGCAAAGCTGCGGCGAGGCAGACGCCGAGAAGATGTTCTCGTTCCAGCCACCGAAGCGGCTGCTTGTGTACGAATTTTGAGTGACGGGTTAATCTTCTATAATCTTGTAGAGGACAATAGCGATTTCTGGGACACACAAGAGATTCTCGGGGAGAGGGGAGTTCCTCCTTCCTCTCTTCTCTCGTGGTGGCCGGAGGCGAGACAGTTATCGTCACTACCTGTCAAAGTTGGTAGACGGGTATTACAAACGAGGCGTTAGCGACATCCAACAGGTGCCCTTTTCTATTTTTTTTTCGTCGCCCTTTTCTAATCGTTTAATTCGTTTTAAAATTCCTTTTCGTGTCTTTTTTTAACAGTATATTGGTGTGTCCGATGTGATACTGCTCCTTTGAACACATATAGACAAAAAAAAATAATAAGCGCCGGAATTTCGTTGTAGTATTCAGAGTGCCGTGGATGCTACTGGCTCGTCGGACCAGTCATACGCCTATCTTTCCCCACGTAGTTACGCCCCCGACCATACCTACGCGCAGAGAGCGGAGTCAGGCATGGATAGGAAGCGGTTGAATGGTCCGGCCAGCACGTATCTCCCACCGCACCATCAGCTTTGTGCTGAACAGAGTATAAACGAAAACTGAAGAAAGCCAAGCCTCTATTCTTCTCGCAAGCTGACATCTGCTTGCCCCATCGGGTTCTCTTGTGTGTCCCAAAAGTCGCTATTGTCCCTCTACAAGATTATAGAAGATTAACCCGTCACTCAAAATTTGTACAAAAGCAGCCGCTTCGGTGGCTGGGACGACTAGGCCATCCTCTCGACGTCTGCATCGCTGCAGCTTTGCTCGTCCAGAGACAAACTACGTCACGATTGCGTCGGATGTGACGTGCTCTCCGCTGGCTGCTCTCTGAGCGCTTGCCAGAGTGGGCCGTTTATAACGAAAAATACAGCCACCAGGCTAAAATACACACGTGCGATTGTCGTTTACGGATATTGTTGATCATATTCAACCTATTTTTTTTTTTTTAACACAACATGTATAATTCAAATTTCGTTGAAGTATCCTTTTTTCAACGAAATTTGAAATACACTCGTCGTGTTCAAACTACGCGCGTTGCAACCCGCTTCTTTTCTTGTCGCCTGCTCTTCTCATCACCGCATCCTCTCCCTCTCCCTCCTCTGCTTCTTCCTTCCCCTTCGGCGACGGTAGGAGAAAGAAAACTATGTATCAGGAACGTTAACGAACCCCGACAAGCATTTTGACTGCAAAGTTCATTTGAGGACACACTAATTAATAAGAGTAGAAGTAAACTTATCACGAGTCCCAATGCGTATCTGGCTCACTACAAACTGTCGTGATTTGGCTCATCACGAATTTAGGTGACATTCGCTCTGGCAACACTTATGGCAACGCACATGCGGTGTTAGTTTCCGAGACACAGAGCCCGTCTGTGCTATGTTCGTATAAGCTCCCATGCCGAATGCGCGCAGGGCTGCCGACCTTTGAAGCTTTCACACCGATCACTTCCTTCGGGGAGATGCAAAATTTAAAATGGAAGAGGTTTCTGCGATAACTTAGAACTCGACTAGGTGTCCACGAAAAACACAAATGAGCAGTGTAAAGAGATGGCCACGACCTTGGCAGGGCTGTCCAGGTATTTGTTGAGGCTTTCGAAGTTTCGAAGACATATTTCGAGCGGCAACCGGAACCTGGCTAGGCACTCATCTCGACGCCGAAGTGACTTCTTTGGAGCTCCTAAGCTGGGCCCTCCCGAGGTAACTACTCCTTCAGATGTGCTTGCGAGAATAATCCCAGGCGCCTAAAATACTGTGCGGCCTTCTGCCTTCATTTCTCTGGAGATGTATATTTTGGAATGCCCTCTAGCGAATGCGTTGGACTTCGTGCCTTGACTAAACTGGAGCGCCTTTTTTGTTTTTTTCCTTGGTTTTTGTCTTTGTGCGTGTTTGGGGCAAGGTTACATGTGATCGATGGGCTTGCGTGTGTTCACCAAATTGCGACCTGGAATTGCAAGAAAAAAGTATGCCTAGTTCATTTAGTCTTGCGTGCACTGTGCAGGTTTGGCACGCGTCATAAACTTTTCAGTGCATGAGTATAATCTCGGTAAGTAAATGAAGTGACTTGAAATGGCACCAAACATGTGATGCAGCACATCTTAATGCAATGGTTCTTATGTAATTGTGTCATTATTGTCTTCAAATTGCATAGGTTTCCAGGATACTACGCAGCAATGAAACGTCCAGGGAAGTCCAGGCACGGTCTCTGCGTGCTTTCGACACCAACCAGCTCCCTTCTAACAATCCGATGGAAGATCGTCTCATCGTCGCTCGCTGCCTCCTCACCACAGGACATATGTTTGGGGTATTCGACGGTCACGGCGGCCACAACTTGGCCGAACTTTTGAGCCATCGTCTTTTAGACTACATAGCACTGTCCATACTTCCACCAGCTCTCCTCAAAGAATACCTGGAGAAAAACAAAAGAACCCACCTAGTTCAAGTGGTTCATGCCATTGACTCTTTAACGGATCAACAGACTGAAGTCCACTTTGACAGTTTGAATGCATTTGCTAGAAACCTTCTTGCATCAGCAAGCAGCCCATTCTCGATGCAGGATGCCCTTCACCGTGCCTTTGTTCAACTGGATAATGACATCTCGCGAGAAATAATTGAGCAGAAGCTGCCAAATGGATCGCAGTATGCAGTCATGGGAAGCTGCGCATGTGTGGTGCACATTGACGGAACTCACCTGCATGTTGCGTCTACGGGAGACTGCAAAGCCGTCTTGGGCATCCTGTCGGATGATGCCACCTGGCTTTCTAAAGCAGTCAGTGTCGAGCACAACACGGACAACATCAACGAACTGCGGCGCGTCCTTTCCGAACACCCTGCGTCCGAGTCTAATTCTGTTGTCAAGCAAGATCGGCTGCTGGGACAGCTGGCACCGCTGCGCGCCTTTGGCGACTTCAACTACAAATGGGAGGCCAGCCGCATTCGTGAGCTTCTTGTGCCCCAATTTGGAACCTACGTGCTGCCGGCTCACTACATGACGCCACCCTACCTCACAGCACAGCCCGAGGTGATGCACCACCATCTGACCCCGAGGGACAAGTTCCTGGTGCTGGCCAGCGACGGCCTCTGGGAGCAGATGCAGCCTCATAAAGTGGTCAGGCTCGTGGGGCAACACATGAGCGGCAAGCAGACCCTAGACCTCCTTCGCCTGCCGCGTCCTCTCATGAAGCTCGGAGATGTGTACGACCTGCTGCACATCCGTCATCAGGGCCTGGCCCAGAAGCCCAGCGATGCCAATGCAGCCACTCACCTCATCCGCAACGCCCTTGGACGCACCGAGTATGGCATAGAGCACGGCAAGCTGGCAGCCATGTTGGCGCTGCCTCAGGAAGTGGTGCGCAGCTTCAGGGATGACATGTCTATCGCAGTTATCTACTTCGATTCAGAGTTCCTTCGGCTCTCTCCAGCGGGCTGAAGGCTGCCCGTCAAGTCGACAGTGTCCTATCACTCGGACTGCCGACCCCTTGCCAGCTCAAGGACCAGCAGCCTGATGCAGTCCCTGCCCCGTGGTAGGGACCGAGGTGCTTTGATGCAGTCTATTTATTGAAATCCAACTTTTAGAGTATCTTTGATCTCTCTTCCAGTGTGATATTTATGCTTAGGAGATTGTATTTATTGCTTGTGTGCTGACAGACTTCTTGTGAAGCTCAAGACGTAGACTTCTTAGCAGATTGTGGCAGCTCTCGTAAAACAAATGTCCCTCTAGTCCGTATGCTATGCTCTTGTCTGTGCCCCAAACAGGTAAAATTTCTGAATCTTGGTGCTGGGCTTAAGGAGCTTGGGCAAGCTGCATGCAGGACTGAATGCAAATAAATCGGCCTTTAGGATGCCTTAAGTGACATGCAGTGTGTTGCAGCATTGTTAAAAATAAAATGACGTCTCGACGTAAGAAACTGCAGTGTATACGACATAGAAACCCTAATAAAATGTGCATTGTTTCAAACCCAGTATGCCTTGCAAACGAAACAAAACATTTGGTTTAAAGCAGCGAGCATGTGCTTTCAGTCGAATCTAATCAGGCAACCCCAAGCCTTTTCCATGTTCAACCATTTTTGGTACTTCGTTGGGCTGTGTTCGATCATGTAAAACTACCGTTGCTGACAAGAATGGGACCTGGGCAGAGATGCTTGCTTTACAGGTGTCCCTGGTGCTCCTACGTCCCAGCCTCTAAAAGCTGTCGTGTGGTTTATGTTCTAGTATGCAAGCACAGATACAACATCAAAAGCATTGCCCTCCACTTACTGTCTTTTTCAACCACCAGGGTTGGCTTTGCAGATGAAAAATTTTGGAAGTACCGTATTTTCCGGACTATAGTCCGCACCCGTGTATAGTCTGCAGAGGCAAATTTGGGGTCAAAAATGAAAGTTTTTGCTTAGATAGTCCGCACCTGCTGCATAGTCTGCACCCAGTGCATAGTCCGCACCTGGTGCTTAGTCGACACGAAATTCTTCTCATACGCGGCACACCTTGACATATGTATGTTTTCTTAGCTCACAAAAAAAGCCTATAATAGACATAAATTATTAATAACATACTCTTTTATTCACAAAATCCGTCCCGTCTCGTCATAATCAACGATATTGAAAAACATAATTCCTGTATAGTCCGCACAGCCAGAAATTTCAACTTTTAAACATGTATAGTCCGCAGACTATATTATAGCCCGGAAAATACGGTACATGTGGCAATTTTTTTTTTTTTTTTTGCTCCCCCCTTATGTTTTCTTTGATAAGTGCAAAGATGGATTGTCACCAACTTGCATAGGTAAGCACTCCTTAGGTAATGAGATTTACATAGCTTTGCCTAAATATCATTTGTAAATACCTCCTGCCATCATGATCCAGTTATCCAACCAGCCTACTTCCTGCTCAAACTAACCGAGTTTAAACTGAATAATCTGGTGAATCAATTCTAGGCTGGCTGAAGATTGGCCAAAATCATTCAACATAGGAGGCCAGATTAACCTATGGCCATTGCATTGGGACCACAATCTCCTCCTAAGCCACCTTTACCAATTGTCAGCTGCCTAAAGGGTCAACTGAGTAGAAAGCATAAATTAAATAGTCAAAATATTCTTCAAAACTTAACAGCATGCCTTGCAATCTGTGCATGGCCACAAAATTGACCATTGTTAGTTGTAATGTTCATAAGCATTTTTGTGACAAAATTGTCGACGAGAGTGAAAGCTTCAATGGGACGCCACTTTGACACCCCTGCTCTATAGTAAAAATGAACACTGCAACTGGATCAACTTTATTGCCAAATGCACACAGAAGCTTCACCTCAAATATTACTGCCGACTTCATGAAGAAATTGGGATAATTTCAATGCCAAAACCAAATCATTCAGAATCTTTCGATTTTATATATAAAAGAAACATGGGTAGATTCCCAACAAAGCACTCCATTTTCATCATGGTTTGTCATTCTGGGGCAGTTATATAGGGGGTCATCCCCATGTTCCCTTTCATATTTTATATACACCTACATTCTAATGGCTTCATCCTTTCGTGGATCTGGGCTCAGTACCGTGCACAATTCCAATAGACAGAAAAAAGAGACTTCAGGGTGAAGTGATAATTCTATTCACAATAGACAGTGAAAAGACTCCACCATTATCCGTTAGCTCAAATGGTCCGTGCTGCAAGCTTCAGTGAATGTAAAGGTGAAATCCAGCTTTCAGTTATGCCTGCGCCCAAAAGTTGCAGCATTCCTATAGTAAAAACAAGTCAAGCGAGCGAAGTGAAAGCATCTTTCCTTCACAAGTTCTAGAAGCGAGCAAAGTTAGTCCTTCTGTCGTTCTTTCCCTCTTTATATGCAATGTGGTTCCTCTGCGTAGAGACTGAGCAGGAGTAGTGCAAAAAGACACAAGGGGGCTAAACACCGCTGCTGGTTCACAGAGTCGGGAATGTAACAATACCAAACTTTTCTTTTTTTTTTTTTGGGGGGGGGGGGGGGGGGGGGTTTGTTCATGAAATTTGATATTTAGAATCTTTATGACAATGTAAGGTGATAAACTTCATCACTGTCAACACCTCTATAAAAACTTTATTAAAGAAAAAGTGGCAAAATACTGATTTCACGGCCATGACTGCTTCAGAGCTGCTTTGAAAGTTGACTGGAATAGCACAGAATCGTGTGCCTTAGTTGCCCACATTGCCTGTGGGCATTATGACAATACTAGCACAGTGCAATTAAAATGGCATCCCCAAATGACAACACAACACACCAAAATGAATCGAAGAGTAATAGTGTACGAAGCCTATGAACTGCAGGCAAAAATATCCACGCAGGGCTCTGGTTATACAGTGTTCTGTATTACGTTCTTATTCTCCAAGTTATGTTTCAGAATTGTTGATTTTAAAACTTTTCAGGCGGTGCCACCTATTCACATCTCCAACCACATGCTCACAACTGTTGGTAAAACAGCACTCGGTTGGCATGAGGCCCCCATTGAACAGCTTAAACACTTGACATCTACTCGGCTGGCAGGCGCCGCAAACAACGCCCCCACCTCTCACTATCCACTGCTCTGTTGAGATGTCAGTCAATCACAGGGCTAGTGAAACCACAGCTTATTAAAGTGGATAGAGTCACATTTTATTCTGTTTGAATACAAGAACATAAATGACTGTACAGACAAATATACATAATAGAAAGAAGGAAAAATCTAGAAATTTTGCAATTCCAGCAAATGGCATTTTGTGGTGTAAAATCACAAACCATTACGACGGTTCCTCAATGATTTACAATACTAAATGTTTCTGTATTCATAATATTCTGTACTATATAACGAAAGCTTGGATCAAACCCTGCATTCTTCATCTCATTGGTATGGAGGACTGTACAGACAAGACAGCTAACCCAAAGGTTGAAAATACAGGCAACACATAGTGGACAAGCCCTTGAAGATAGCAGGATATCAAGCACTTTTTCCTGAATGTGGTGATGACACATCATAGGTGCTCAGCTGGAACAAATCAGAAAAGAAGCCTTTAGACGTAGAGTATGCACACGAAACCTAGAATAGGTAAAGTGCTCTGTTGCATACTCCTAGGACACCGAATGCTAAATGGAACCACAGTGGGAGAGATACTAAACACTATTAGTATTATAAATTATGTTATATTTGCGGGTTTCATATTTTACAAATGTGCCAGAGAACTTTTTGCAAGACTGATAACAGTTATTGAAGCGGCATTGGACCTTTTGTAGCAGACCAAATATTGGCTTGGAGCAACCACCCACCGTTTTCATAATTCCTATTTCATAATTCATATTGAAGCCGAACACACCATCAGGAATTATGAAAACTGTATCAGTACACCATCTTTGAACCTGACAGAAAAAGATAGAAAGTTTCTAGGCGTCTAGCAGATTGGTGCGCGTGATTCGGGATATTTGGTAGTTCCAGACGTAGAAGAAGACAAAGCATATAAAAACGAGTTGTGAGTCAACACTGTTCGTTTGAATTTTTCCTTTCTTTTTCGTGTGTAAGGAGTGAGTGTTTGGTGTGTGTACGTTTGCAGTGTGCGCTGTAGCGTGTGTTAATACCAAACTTAAGATTCTAATATAACAAACTGCGAAAACAACAACCCATAAATATTATGAAAATCTACATTTGTGCTTTAAGAGTGGCACTGTGCTTTAGCGGTGTTTAAAGCAGAGTTGAGTCGAAGTTTGCTGCCCTTTCGATTGACTGCTGCACGGGAACTACCTTGAATATCATACTTATTCAAATAAAGACCCGCATTTTGTCTTCTTTCTTGGTGCAGCCTTTTAATATTAGAGGTCAACCTACAGTTAAGGCCAAAGAAGGTCGACCTGTAATAGTACTAAGCATTATTTCCGACAACCGCTGCTCTTAGCACTCCAGTGCAAGACATTGAAGCTCGACGCATGCGCGTGCTAGTGTGAGGTTGTGACGACTGAAGTGAGCGGTGAAAGTGCCACCCACAGTACACTAGCCACACCATGGAGGCAGGTGGCAGACACAATAATCACGTGATATCATGAGGAGTGAAGGACCAGTTCCATCTCATTACAGTAGCTGCCATCCCACTATTTTCTCTCGCGACTTTTAGCACCTGACATCGCCGACATTGTATGGAAATTCAGATGATGACGGGGCCATGTTGAAAGGAATCTCTACACTTCGTTTAATTGCAAGTCAAAGCGCAGGCGACGCTACGAGTAAATGGGACCAATCACGCAGCGTCAAAAGCACGACATCATGGCCTCCATCAATTATCGGTACAAGCTATTTCATTGGCTAAACCAATCAAGCGCTGCGAATGGCCCTAGACTTGCGCTTTTAGTGTGTGTTTGTGACTATGTGTTTGAGCCTTTGACTGTGTTCTGACTCAAGACTATACACACCAAAAGGTGGGTAACAACGCTGCGATATACATATTTCTACCATTTTAGTTTCCTTCTACTTTTTTTAATATTAAAATCGACCAATAACAAAACACTTATTTTTTGCTTTGTTCAAGCCCATTTTGGCACAGGTATGCCGCAATTCTTAGCAAAAATGGCGCTTTGGCACAAGATGTAGGGGGATCGGTGGCCGAGTGGTCTAGCGCATACCAGCTCGGAGCACGTGGAGCTAAAGCTCCCGCTGCAGAATCCTGGGTTCAATCCCAGCCCCTGCCCATTTCAATCTGGATGAGCATCGTACCGGCGTGCGGTCGTGTATCACTACTGCGTGGTGCACGTTAAAGACCCCAGGTTAGCGGTTGTACTGCACTGGCTAAATTGCCCATCTACAGCTGAGACACCAGACGCCCACTGAGGCCGACTAACTTCCGGCTGTATAAACATACACACAACAATTTGCTTTGCTTTTGCACAAGATGTAGTACACTTTCGTTGATGGCGCAATTTGGTGCAATTCGGCGCAAATGGGGCAGCACTTCTATCATTGTAATAACCACAGTTAGCGATCGAGAGTAGTTGCTCTTTGGGAGCTCCCCACATATGGGTATCTTCATGTGATAATTTTTTTGCAAGCATAGTCAATTCACAGAAATGTAGCCACTGTGAAATATAAGTCGTTTAGAGTATTTCTGAACTTTTTCATATTTTAGGAAAATTCAGAAAACTGTTTTTTCTGAATCCCTGTCAATCAGTGGCATTAACAATAAACGTCTTAAAAACTTGAGACCGAGGAACAAAAGGATGATGACACACACAGTGTGGGCACCCTGACTGGTTGTGTGATGACCACTCTCTGAAGGCTGGTTGTGGGTCGTCCTTATAAACAAGGAAGCAGAGATAAACATTGCAGCCGAGTCCCCAGATCCGTTTTGTTTGTGTCATTCCCCTTTTTGTGTCTCGGTCTCGAGTTTTCAAAATGTTGAAAGTTTACCAGCTCACCTGCACGCTCTCTATCATTTATATATACTGTCAATATTTATATCCAGAAGTGCAGCAAAACTATGATACAGATACAGGGTGTTCTTTTTATGCTTTAGATTTGTTTTAAAAATGCCTCGAAAGCTACATTAATGCAGTTTATGTAGGTGAGTGATACAGCCAGGGGGACATAACATAGGGAGAGAATTGTCGCTAGAAGTCGGTTAATTAACTAAAATTTGTTAATTAACTACTTAATTATTGACAATAAAGATATGATTCCAATCAGAAACTTGCTGAGCGTCATGAAAAACCACTAAGTAAGTAAATTTTAGAACGTTTTGTGGCACATGGGAGGCACAGTGGTGTGCTGAAGTTGGCAATCGTGCAACGGGCGCAATGCAGACGGTGCAAAAACCCGGATGATGAGACGGAAAAACCGTATGGGCACGTTTTTGCACCACAACCCTGCACCTGTTGCATGAGTAGTAACTGAAATGCACCATTGCACCCCAAATCTTTCTCAAATTTACTTTAGTGGTGTTCAATGACACTCACCAAGTTTAGAACCAAATGTTTATTTTCACTAATTAAAAAGCTTATCAACAAATCTGAGATAATTACCCATCTTATCGTGACAATTATCCCCCTATATTATGTTCCCCTGGCCGTATGACTCACCTACGCAGACTGCATCAATGTAACTTTCACGACTTAAAAAAAAAAAAAAAAAAAAATTTAAAGACTAAGAAAAAAAAAATTGCTTGGCAATGGGAATCTAAACTCTTGCATTTGGTCAACCCCCTCTTTCCCCAGCATTTTCCATAGCATGCATACATAGCCATACTGACCAAGAAGTGCATCAACACTCCTAAATTATTATTATTACAGAGTGATAATTAGCTAGAACACTGACTTGAACTGCAATATCAAGATTCTGAGCCCTTTCCAAAATCTCTCAATTCCCTCAGTGACAAACTCTACCAAAACTTTAATGTAACACTAGCCCAGTTTTCATATCCTTGCATTCCAATTGGCTCACTCTGCATTTGGCTGAATAATAGTAAGAATTATTATTTATTCCGACTACTTGAGTCACGGGTTGGGGGGGTGGGGGTGAAAAAGGTAAACAAGTTTTACCTGATAAGGCCCCACCACTCTTGTACATTGCTCAGCACAGCTGAGCAATGTACAAGCAACTTTTATTAGGCTGTTGCAGTAAAAGCATTGTCATGGCCTAACCTTTCTGCACCTCATCACTTACGTTCTAAGCTTGCACCTCACAGAGAGAGGCCTGCATATGATGGTCCGTCTGCATCGGGCGACTCCATACACATGCGAAGGTGATCCAGTGTATTCTGGAAGTGCTTATTGATTTGGTCGCTTTCCTCGTTGGCTTCCAGCTGGGGGAGCTGCTCCCTGATCTTTCCAATAAGTTGACTAATAGTGTCAGCCTTGATCTGGAGAGAAATGCACACACAAAAGGGCAAACTCAGTCGTACGCAACCCACAGAGAATGATCAGTGCTAACAGTCAATTCCGTTGGGTGTAGCACATTTGCCCCGCGTGGAAAATCCCTGTCGCAAGAGCTCCATGTCATTAGCCCCAAGTCTGAAAGCCCCGGGCTCAATGACCCCATTTCATATTGCCCGTGTGCCAAAAGCCCTGTCCTCACTGTACCTGTCCCACATTCCTTTTGCGCGCTTTGACCGCCACTGTTTGGTGCAGTGGCGAACGGTCACTACGTTGCGTGTGTATCACCGAGGCCTGTGCTAACCTACCCGGCCCACCCGTTCACGCCACTTTGGGGCGACAGTCTGCAGCAGCTCTTTACAAAAATGTAAACAAGTCAGATGTGACGCTGAGAGGCACTTTTCATTATTATATATAGAAATTTTGTGCAACTATGTAGAGACTGGGGTAAAAAACTGAAAACAACTTTGAAAGACACATTGAGGTTCCGGAGCTTTTGAAAACGGGGCAAAAAATTAGACGTTTACAGATCTCTAACGCGAAATCAGAGCGCAGCTCTTGAGGAGGACAAGAAAGGGAGGGTATGGACGAGAGGGTATGCTCCTCCCCGTACCCTCTTTGCCTCCTCCTCTCCCAACCTTTCCCCCTCTCCCCCTCCTCTTCTTCCGCACCTGACGTCAATTTTCCCACTAAATCTAGGGGAGAAACTGAATTCGTTCATAGGTGACGTGACACCAAGTCAAGCGACGTCATTTTCCCCACGAAATTTAGTGGGGAGACTGAATTACTATTGAGGTCATGTGACAAATTTTTCCGCTAAATTTGCCAGGGAATTAAACTGCTGCAGAGGTAATGTGATGTCAATTTTCCCGCTAAATCTAGCGGACAAACTGAACTGGTTCGTAGGTGACGTGATACCAAGTCCTGCGACGTCATTTTCCCCGCTAAATTTAAGGGGGAAACTGAATTGGTGTCGAAGTCACGTGACGTCAATTTGCCTGCTAAACTTAGTGCGGTTACGCCGACGCCAATGGTGACACCGCGAAACCTGCAAACGGGCACCTAAGAGCTGCACTCTAAAAGAGCGGGGTGTTTGATGCTGCGCATTTGGCACGGGGCTTTTGACATCAGGTGCTTTCGTGCACCACTTAATTCCGTGCTGTGGCGGGACTACTTGCAAAGGCATGTCCCAAGAAGTAAATGTCCTGTGGCTATTCCAAAAGACAAAGCCACTCACCTGCTCGTTGCCCTTTTCATAAAAGTAAATGTAGTAGTTGAGCAGCTCGACAAACAGCTGAACTTGAACCGACGAGTCCATGCATTGCGTGGCAATGCGAAGTCCTTTCTTGAGGCACTCCACAACACGCTTGCTGTCGTGCATCTGAGGGTAAACACAGAATTCAATGTGGCATTTTTTCAACCACAAATGAGCATTTCAGTTAGTTAATACTAATCATAGTAATAGTTTATTCACCATACATATGGTGAGAGCAGGGGAAAAAAGCTGTCTGAGCAGCTTGACTGGTCCTGAGCCCCCTTGCAAAAACACAGCGGTGTCAAAAAACAGAAAAACAATGGATATACATATGTATATACACCATACATATACATACCCACATAAATGCACACGTCGACCAAATAAGGCAGTTTCCCGTCAAATCATTTGAAGTCCATAATCCGTGCGAAAAGTTTCTATTCCCGAAGAATTTCAATGATGAGTAGAATATGTTAATGCCCTTTTTCTAAGCGATGCCAAGCCTAATAAAATGCTATGCATATCCATGCATTTGTTTTTGTACAGGGTGTCACGAAAGAAAATTTACAGGGTTTTTTTCAGCGCAAAAACTAAACTAGGCATCGTCGAACGCTCATTCTCCGCCCAAAAGTAGTGCTAGAGGTCACAACTAGATGCCAAAGTTTCAGCCCGATCCGATGCCTTAATCAAAAGTTATAAGTGATTTTCTGAAAATTTCAATGGGAAAATGGCGGCCGACGGAGTTTTCGAATACATGGGGCTCTATGGCACCAGAAACCGAAAACGGGCAAAAATGGGCTCCATTTTTCCATTGAAATTTTCAGAAAATCACTTATAACTTTTGAATAAGGTATCGGATCGGGCTGAAACTTTGGCATCTGGTTGTGACCTCTAGCACTACCTTTGGGTGGAAAATGAGCTTTCAAGCGATGCCTAGTTTATTTTTGCAGTGAAAAAAACCCAGTAATTTTTTTTTTGTGACACCCTGTATTTAACGCTAAGCCTATATTCATATTGTTCATATATTTCCAAAACCCTCATTTTTTCAAGAATTTGCTTTGTGTGAAAGTTAAATGGTACGTTACAAACAAGCTTTAACACTTTTTTCTGTAGTAAAAATATTTTGTGTAATTTGGTTTAGTGGTAGTACCCCAGACCAGATGATAATAGTTCAAGTGAGATACAAATAATGTGTTATAGAGGAGTAATTCGATACTTGATGGAAGTATAATGATGTCGGTGTAATAAACCAATGATGCAGGCAAGCATAGAAATAATATGATCTATGTGTTCAGTCCAAGTCATACGAATTGAAAAAAACATTCCCAAAGTCTTAAACTTGCAGGCTATTTTGATGGGGGAAGAATGAAGGACTATATCACTGGTAAAGTCAACATCCCTGTTCTTAAAGGGGTACGGAAACATAAATTGAAATATTCAGATTTCGTTCGGAAATGAGTCAAGCATGACGGATAATAACTGTAAATGATAATCGCACGTTTTTATTTTGAAGGATTGGCTATATTTTTCGTTCCAAACGGTGCACTCGAGCAAGCGCTCGAGAGAAGCGAGCGGAGAGCGCGATGCGTCATGAGATATCCGGCGCAAACAAAAACAGAAAGAAAAGACTCCCCGCATTCGTGACGAAGCAAGGCAGGCGTGATTATGAGCTTTGCCCTTGGCGGCGTTGTCAGCGTTGTGGTGGTGTCAATAGCGTCAGCGCATTACAACCGAGCCGTCCGAAGTGCCCATAATGTGACGAGCGTGTGCCTGGCCCTAGGAGCACGTAGCTTCCACAACACTGTCAGCTTGGGGCTGAACAGGGTGGGGAAAGCAACTTTTGTTCGAGTTTTGAGCGACGGGCTAATCTTCTAGGGGGAGAATGGCTGTGTCCGGTTGCACGAACGAGGGTCCGAGAAAGAGGGGTGCCCTTCCTTTCCGTCTTCTTGGACCGCTTGGTACAACGCGCGATTTGTGAGTTCAGGAGGAAAGCTAAGAAGGAAAACGTTGAAATGCCAAAGAGCGGCGCTGCTCCGAAGGAATCTGCTACGTCACGACTACGTAGCAGTTTCCACAACGTTGCTAGACTACCTCCCAAATAGGCTCCGCATGCATCCACCAGGTGCACATTGAAGATCGTTTATTTAGCTTTAAAATTAGTTGTCTTGTGCTTTTTAACGGAAGACTAGTGTTCTTGAGGTTAGGGTGCAACATGCAACACATTAAAGCTCGAAAATGAGCTCTGAAATTTCGTTTCCCTACCCCTTTAAGGCTAAAAAACGTGGCTTTTGTTTTTGCTTTGTTTACTAAAAGAATATTTGAAGCAGACCAACTTTCTAGTTTTTTTTTTAGGATGTCATTTACTGTTTATGATGTCGTTGGAATTTTGAGCAGATAAAAAAATGCTAGTGCCATCAGCGTGAATGATAAATTTTACCTGCGTTGAAATGTTAATGATGTCATTTATGTATATGTTAAAGGGCAACTCCGCTCAATTCCGAAGATATCGGGACAATGAGTGATTTCACACTAAAAACTTTCCAGCCTTTCCACTCTGGTGAGGAAGGAAGACCAGTGGAGCTGTACAATGGAAACAGGCACGTAGCCAGGATTTTGTTTCGGGGGGGGGGGCCCGCCCATGACAAAATGCTGTATGAGGGGGAGGGGGGAGAGGAGGTCCCAGCAAAATGGAAGATTTGGGGGGGGGGGGGGGGGGGAAGGGGGGGAGCCGGGCTCCATGGGCCCCCCCTGGCTACGTGCCTGAATGCAAAGTAATGGCCGGCCGCAAGTCGGCAAGCCAGAGTGGAGAGGCTGCCGCCATCTTTGAGCGACGGCGGCAACCAGATACGTGGCTTGCCACCATCGCTCATAGATGGCGGGAGGTGTCCAGAGTTCGATGTCTTCATTTCTTTGCGGGGCACACGATGCAAGCGTGCAATGTGCAAGAGTCATCTGCAATGCACTCTTCACCACGTTTTGGTGTCTACGACATTCGACGACGTCTACAAAACTGCAGCATAAGCCTGCCATGTAGTGTCCGTAGTGTGAACGAAACTCCAAGAGACAATAGTCACAAACGGTGAAGCAATGATAACGCCGGTGTTGACGCAGGAGACGGCGGTAATGGCAGGACCACGGCGGAACGGCCAGACGGCTCCCAAGAAGCACGCTGCGCAGGCGGGTTACGCCAATCACGTGGACACCACCGAGCACCGAGAGGAAACGCTGCTGAAGTCACCCGTTACGCTTGTCAGGAGAAGTAAAAATAAGCAAAAAGGTGCAATGGTGATGACGTTTAGCTCAATGTTGGCTAAGCCCATGCCGTAGCCTTGACTGTGCGTTTAGACAGAACTAAATCGTAATATGTGACGTATGGTCTTGCTAGACGATACTGAAGAGGACTGCATTGTTTTCTCAAAAACAGAAATGAAGCAGAGTAGCCCTTTAAAAAGCAACGGTCCGAGAATACTACCCTGTGGTATGCCAGATTTTATAGGTTTTATATCGGCGATGCGACCATTAATATAGATATACTGACACCGGTTGTCTAGTTAGGACCTCAGGAGAAGTGCCGCATGTCCTCTAATGCCGTAAATATAAAGTTCCTGAAGGAGCATGTCATGATTAATAAAATCAAATGCTTTGGTTAAATGAACAGCCGGTGACAGGTCAAAAACGAAGTGGAAGCTCCTCCCACCTCTTTCCACTTTAGTAGAGCGAACGCTGGAGAGGAGGCAACCTCTTCTACACCATTGGCTATGTTTTTTTCTTCAAGGTTACGTAAAATATATTCTTTTTGGTCCACGAAACTTAGCTCATAGTCAAATGAGTAGAAGCTGTATGGATTTTTCTGCTGCCCAGATGCTAAAGCTGTTGTACCCCTCCTTATGAAAACAAAAAGCTTTAAGGCTCCAGCTAGTCAGCCTGCAACTCCTGAGGTTATAGGAACATTATCTGATAACCCCTCCACCCTTGCACTTTTGGCCCTTTTTGCCATTCTTTGCATTACTGATCACCAGGTACATACTCCAGAAAATAATTCTTGGAGGACCTCCCCTGTCTGCTTCAGGCAACATGAGGGTGTAGCACTATTCTAGCGTTTTAAGAAATCGCGACCCTAGAGCTAAGGCATAAAGACACCTTTAAAAAATTTTAAGTTGGTTTGTGATTTTGTACACTAAGTAGCAACAAGCCAATCACAATCTCCTCCTAGGAATTGTTAATACCATCCTGCTCTTACATGACATACACAATCAACCACTAGTTGCACAGGCAGTGCCCACAGGAGATTCAGATCTCCAACATGCCAACAGCCGACTTGTTAGAAAGCACTTTCATTGCAAAATTCCAGACGAGTTTGTAAAGAGGCAGAAAGTACCTCCTCGCCACCAGTTTCCTGTGTCTTGCCAGACCAGAAGAGATGTGAACAGAGGCCAACCCCACGGCACTGGTCAGGCTTCTTGAGCAGCTTGGACGCTGCCAGAGCACACTGGGTGCGCAGCGGCTCGTGGTTCTCCTCTCCAAAACAGCTTGTCTGCTCGATCGTGCCCATGATCAAGGTGATTGCCGACAGTTGCGCTTTGCTGTCCGAGATCTCGTCCTCATACAGTGAAAAGGCCTGCATCACACAGTGCAAGTGCAACAGCACTCTCAGGTTGGCTATAATGCCGTGGCAGAGAAATGAGTGTTCCTCAGGTAAATCCTTCAGCAAGAACCCCAGGCTGCTTAAGTCTCTGCTAAACCAAAAAGTAGGGGTGTGAAAATATCAGAAATTTTGAATACTTTGCAAAAAGTGCTTGCTGTTCTATTCGATTCACTCTTTCACTGTTTGAAGTATATTCAAGTTCTTCGAATATTCGAAAACTATGAATAACGCGAACTAGCCAATAAGTCTCAACTCGCGGTCGGGTTCCCGGTTTGTTTTTGGACTGTGCATGCAGTATGGTTTCGAGCTTGGCAAACCCAAAAAGCCAAGCTAAGTGAAAGTTATTTGCACGCGGTAGTGCAATCTGGTCCTTCGCTTGCTGTGATGTCTGGATTGTGGGGTTGGCGAAGTAGTCGTGGTGCAAACATGACTGGAGCCATCTCTGCTATAGATTTGACAAAGGAGTATGATTTGCAACGGCACATGCATCGTCATGAGCGCAAACTGGATTCAGGATATGAATTTACAGCTGACATCGGCTACTGGTGGTATCTGTTACATTGGTTACTGTGGTTGTCGTATGGATCTAGCTGCTCATGTTATTTTTAGATCTATTTTCCGGTTGGTCAGTCTTCCAATATTTGTTTTGTTATTTCTACCCATTTTCACTGGTGAAAGTGACAGACTTGCTCCCTCGGCCGAAAAAAAAATGTATTCTTATTTTATAGCTTCTCTGTGGCGTCCTATCTCAGCAGAACCATTGCACACGGAAAGATTGCGCAAGATCAGCGCGGCTGCAAGGCGCTATCTCCGACTGTTGTGGCCTGCCGACCCCCCCACGTGTACTTCAGTTTACGTTCACGTGGTTGCGTTCACCCGCGTAGAGAGAGATTGCACAAGGTCAGTGCAGCTGCGCGTTCGACGCAATCTCCGATTCTGTTGTGGCTTGCCAACCTGCCTCCGCTAGTGTACTTTCATATACGTTCTGGTAACTTCACTTCTTGAATGGTGTTTTACTGAGTGACCTTTTATTTTTTCTGCTTTTCATCTATCACATGTGTGTCATTTTTCTTAGTGCAATAAATTTAACCTTTTCATAATTATGTTTGTTGGAAAAAAAAAAAAAAAAATTCCCATCGTGTTTTAATAGAGTATTCTTGTTTAATTCACATCAAATAGAAAAAAAAAATTCTATTAGAAAAGATTCATATTAGAAAGTATTCATATTAGAAAATATTCGGTTTGATTTGATTCATAACTTTACTATCCAACTCGATTCGCCTCGAACGATTTTGATATTTGCACACCTTTACCAAAAAGACATTGCAACCAGCTAGAACCTGCCCTGATAAAACAAAAGTCAGGTGCTCAAGGTCACAGGGTAACTGAAGGTGATTCGACTACCAAAGATGTAAACTGCACACTGCTGTCCATAGAAATGTACAATCATTCATTGTTCACATTTACCTGATGTGGCATAAAACAGACAGCAAAAGTACCAGCGTGCTAGATTATCCACTAATACACTATGACATTACAATCTCGTGCACCAAGTAGGAGTGCTCGGCTCCTCAGTGACGAGAATGCAAGTAAACTGCAATTTGCACCAACAGTTGAGAGGCACACACAGATTATGCAGAGTAAACCAAAACATAAAACTTAAACCATAAATACATATAGCCTTTTCAAACTTTTACAAGAAAATGGAAATGAATTGGACATAATATGCACTGATGCATAGTATAGTCAACCTTAATATAATATATTTTACAAGTTTAAGAATTCAACTTTGTAGTTCATTGAATACAAGCCATATGTCGTAAAAAAGTTGGGCACCTGAGAGATGAATTCATAGGCCACAGTTTCAAAGAGAGAAAACTTGATTTGTCCAGCGACCAAGGCTCCTTGGAGAAAAAGGCGCAGAGGCAGCTCAGCCATTTCACATTTGATGAGGGTACTGATCGTCTGATGGCAAAACTTGAATATTTTGTTGACCTTCTTCTCCCACTTGTCATCCTGCATTCATGCAAATCATTATGTCAGATACACGTCTGGGATGTCATTTCAGAGTGATCTGCATAATTTATTTTGCGAAGCAATTTTTCCTTCTTATTTTTTTGTTATACTGAGACATGCATGTTCGAAACTGAAACCTGATATTGATTCTGCTGGCAAGTATTGTGCTCCCAATAGCAGAATCTTTAGTGTGCATGTGAGAATTGTGCTCTCTTCCTGTAGCTATTGGAACAGAGCAACTGCAAAAAGTGTGATAGCTAAATTATGCAAGCATCTTCACTGAGGCAAACCATAACAGGCAGTCTGTTTGACTGAAGATAACCCCTTGCTGCACAATACAATATTCAAAGTTCATTTACATGATTCAAAACATTGATTCTAAGCACTACTTTTGACAAAAATCTTGCCAGCAAATACAAGTGTACCACACTTTGAATGGAAGCACAAGAGCCACTAAATGAGCTACGCTTCGAGTATCGGCACTCCATTCCCCAATCTGCTAGTGGGCGCCGCCATCTTGATGCTTAGTGCAGAGCAAATGCAGCTGTCGATCGTCACAATTTAAAAATGCGACTTTCTCAGCTTTAGATAGGCTGCTAGGAAGATCAGGTGATATTATTTTGCTCTGTCACGAACTGTTTGAACATTTCTAGAGGGCAGAAAAGCATTTTCTGTGACTTAAAGATAACACTTCAGATAAGTGGCAACCACAATTTTAAGCACCAAGAAGGTTGAAGTGTCGTTACTCTGAAGCGCAGCTTTATTAGTAGCTCTAGGGAGCATGTTTGCTTGAATGCCACCACCCTTAAAACACACAAAAAAAAGTGAAAAATTGAGGGGGAGGGGAAGGGGGTTCCTTTGAAGCGACACTTCAGATAAGTGGCAACCACAATTTTAAGCACCAAGAAGGTTGAAGTGTCGTTACTCTGAAGCGCATACATGAAGCGCAGCTTTATTAGTAGCTCTAGGGAGCATGTTTGCTTGAATGCCACCACTCTAAAACACACAAAAAAAAGTGAAAAATTGAGGGGGAGGGGGAGGGGAAGGGGGTTCCTTTGAAGCGACACTTCAGATAAGTGGCAACCACAATTTTAAGCACCAAGAAGGTTGAAGTGTCGTTACTCTGAAGCGCAGCTTTATTAGTAGCTCTAGGGAGCATGTTTTCTTGAATGCCACCACTCTAAAACACACACAAAAAAAGTGAAAAATTGAGGGGGAGGGGAAGGGGGTTCCTTTGAAGCTTTCATAAATATACCTACCGTAAAATACCGGGCAAGCGTCCACTCAAAAGTTAACAGATAATCGCGAAAAAATGGGGGATGGGCGCTTGTCCAGTCATCAATTTTACATATAAATGTACTGTGCATATTTTCTCAGATCTCAGAAATTTGGATATGGGCGCTTAATGTGGAATGGGCGGATGCACGGTATTCTGCGGCATCTGTAGTGAAAAACTGCATCTATTGAACTTATGAAGTGTGCTTCCAAAGAGACAAAATGAGCTTATTAACACACAGCAGTAATGTAGTCTTGCTCACCTGATCACACAGAGAATGGTACTTGAAAGCCAGCTGGTACGACTGGAACACAAGCGGAGGCAAGGTGTAGCGGATACGCTTGTTGCCTCCATTGCCAAAGTGCTTCCTGGCTGTCATCACGATCTGCAGATTCAAAAGACAACAGTATTGCACCAACAACTTCCTGGCACAACACATGCTCCCAGTGAGCACAAACACCAGGGGCTGGAGGGCTCCACTGACCAGGTACTGCTGGTCCGCAGAGTCAGCCACCATGAGGTTGGCGAAGCGCCCCACCAGCACCTGCTCTTCCAAGAAGTCCTCTGGGTCTTCCTCTTCGTCTGGCTGGTCCGGTTGGTCTTGAACCAAGGGACTGATCAAGGTGAGCACCTGGTCCACCTGTGGCACACAACCCATCCCACTGCCGCACCGTGCCATCGACATCCCTCAAATGTCTCCGCAAAAGCAGCCAGGGGCCCAATCTTGCCAGTCCCAGTCTGTTGAACGCTTACAAGTATTGCCAAGCCATAGGTGCCGTGTATGAATCAGCCCGATAGGAGCCTGACATCTAAATGTCAGCCAATGGCAAGAGCTACAGTAAACTGCTTCGGAAGCTAAATCCACCTGCGACAAACCTTTTGCAGCAAACACATTTTTGTAAAAATAAGACACAGCAATTTTGGACTACAACTGCTGCCTCAGCTAATTGCTCAAAGTCCAGAAAGCTTGAAATCACTCCCCCTGATGCTGAGAAGGGACAGCTCACCTGCTCTGGAGTTCGGATGAGTGTGTCGTTCTCAAGGGCGCTGTTAACGAGGAAGCAGGCCATCACTTTGCGGCCCCGGAAGTCACAAAGCTGCAGAAGGCTTCCAAAGTGACTAAGTTGCAGCAGAGTGAGGAGATCATTGTACGACTGCACCGGAATCTTCAGAAGTCGCACCAGTTCTTTGCCCACAGGTTTCAAGAACTCAACCCTGCAAAGGGTAAAAACGGCTGCTGCATGATTCTCACTACAGCAACAATGGCCAATAAACAAGGAGAAAAAGGTGGTTAATCACCGGTAGAAAAACAAAGCCCGAATACGAGAGCTGCTTTAAGGATGTATATACCTGGTTATGCCCATCTTTGTGAAGATTTCTTCAGTTGTTTGGAGCACTTTGTCGACATAGTCCACCCTTTCTCGGTAGCACTTGAGGGCCAGATGAAGCAGTGACACTTGCAGGGACACTATATCTTCAGCAGGCATGTCCTGTCTTGTCTTTAGGAACAAAGAGAAAGAAATTGCATGAGCAAAATTACTTTTACACCTAGATGCACCATTCCGATATCCAATAAATCAGAATGACAAAATTTGAGACTGAAGAAAACCAAAGGCACTAATTATATCTGCTCCTATAAACAAATACAAATCAAGCAGTATTTTATAATACAGGTGGGATGGTTTTCAGTGCTGGATTTTGTCAAAATCAATAAATACAAATTGGCTCTTTTTTCCCTAAAATTTATGGAAAAATTTAGGCCACATAATAAAACCGGAGACATAAAAATAAAAAGGATGTACACAATGGTGTTGTGTATGTTCTTTTTGTTTCAGTGTCTCGGGTTTTATTATGCTGCCTAATATTCACCAGCTCACCTGAGCCCTCAATCTCAAAATTTAGCTTTCGTAATTTTATTTCCATTTTTGGGGTATTGATATCTATACTCATTTTCACCTCAAGAACCATAGTAAAAAAAAAAGTACAGCTTCTTGCGGCGCATTACTAATTTTCCCCTTTATGTGGAGTATTAAGATATGTGTAGGTGCATTTTAGATTATATATTTGTTATCTCATCAAGACGTGCAGGTTCCAAGCGCCCAAAGCATCGCTTCTTCCTCCGACTGCCAAATCTTGTAAGGACTACTTCGAGCGGCGTATGAATAATGCACAAAACATGCTTTTTTCTTGAGGTGAAAACGAGTATACACATCCGTCACAAAATAAAGGTAACAAAAAAAAAAAAAAATCTTTTGGCCCGAGATTATTGCATATGTAACTTTATCTTTCGTTTTTTTGGGTTCCGATTGTGTGCATATTTCTTATTTTGATTTTCTCCACACATATTAGCCATCCACAATTTTACATTGCCTAGCCTCATTCATGACCTTGTTGGGTGAAGAACATTTTTGTCAGTTTGATAGAGACTACCGTAAAATCCCGTAAGGGTGCCCACCCAAAATGGAGATACTGTAAAACCCTTAATGTTCGCGAGCCCTCAATTTTCACGAATTTCACGAATTGAAGAATTTGCAAAATTTAAGCGCGCGAAAATTTCGGTCCTTTAGATTTTCAATGCAGGCGTCTGGAATTCATGAAATTTAGTGGTCGCGAATCCGCGACCACTAAATTCAGCCGCGAAAATAAAGGGTTTTACAGTAAATGATGAAAAACACGAGGTCCTTGGGGATGAGACAGCTAAACTTCATAGAACTTAAAGGAGTCATGAAATGATTTTGCAACTTTTTCCTTTTTAGCTTTCCTCCTCAACTCACAAATCGCGCAATGCACCAAACAGTTCAAGAAGACGGAAAGGAGGGACTCCCCTCTTGCTTGGACCCTCGTTTGTGTACCCGGACACCGCCATTCTCTCCCTAGAAGATTAGCCCGTCGCTCAAAATTCGAAAAAAAGTTGCTTTCCCCACCCCGTTCACCCCTAAGCCGACAGTGTTGTGGAAGCTACGTGCTCGTTGGGTCAGCCACACTTTTGCCACATGATCACGCTCCCTCGCTTATACCCACGAGCAGAGATTGAGTTCAGGTGATGAAAGGGAGGTGGCTGATTGGTCCGGCAAGCGCATAGCTTTCAGCGCACTGTCAGCTATGGGGTGAAGGGAATAAGTGGAACCGGTGTTGTGCGAAGCGTGTTTGGACCGGGTGTCGCAGTTTGGGTACCGTGGATGCATCACAGTGAAAAGGCAGAGCTTTCACGGAAGGAGCTATGAAATAGTCCGCTTTGTTTTCAACTTTTCGTATAGAAAATCAGGCCCTTTTTACCTCCTAAGTTCTTTCTTTTGGCCCACCAAACGATATGCTAATAGAAAATACCAATCACAATTCATTTATCCCAGCCCAAAACTCGTTTCATGACCCCTTAAATGATAAACACAGGTGCACCTGCTACAAACCATGTGACACGGGAACTGATATCACGGACACGGCAAATGAGCCTTTCACAACGCGATAAACACACAAGAATTCACTACTAACTCCTGTGTCACAGGAAAGGATACCACGGATTGCGGATGCAACAGATTCGTGTCTCACGGAGGGATAGACATGCAGAAACTGGCTACAAACTTGCGTGCCACAGAAACCGATGTCGCGCGCACGGATTGCAGACAAAGAACGCGGGAACTCGCTACGAACTCGCATGTCACAGGAACCGATATTGCACGTTCAGATTGCGGACAAAAACGTGGGAATCCGCTAAGAATTTGCTTGTCACACACATACCGTTACCACAGATAGCACAATTAATGTGATTCCTGTCGACATTATGTAATGTCCGACAGGTGGGCGATGTTTCTAAATTTTGATGTTACGGATATTTAGCCAGAAAAACGGGATGGACAATCTCTTGCAGGAGGACGCCCTTACGGGATTTTACGGTACTTGACTAAAGTATGTAGGGATAATATTGCACTTTAATATATGGGAATAAAAACAATGAATCTGTACTGACCAAATCAAGACACTGTTCGGGATTTGAATTGGCTTTGAACTTTTGTCACAGCTGTAGAAGGTGCTCCATTTTAAAACTTTTGCACAGCTGAAGTACCATAAAAGCTGCATGCATGTGCAAGTAGATTAGCCCTTTGAATTTTAATGAAAAAACTACTACTGGTGATGAGTGTGGTTCTTCACATTGCAAACTACAGTTTTTACGATTCATTTCGAGTGCTCCTTTCTCTCAGCACTATTTTTCCGTGATCACAACCTTCTTTGGCACCCTTGATGAATGATACACAGTGCTTAGCTCTGAAGTGAGACAACTTGTGGTTTCAGAGAGAAATCAAGTTTAACTGAAATTTTTTAATCCTCCCCTATGTGTATTTCTTGGGTGAAAGCAAGTTTCTCCTGAAAACATCCAACCCCAACTCTAGTCATTTAGAAATAGAGGACAAAAATTTTCTACAAGAACCTAATCATGAGATCTCTGACCTTATTTCTTCAGTCTTCAAAACTCTGGTTTTGAAGACTGTGAAGACACCATCCAGGCATTATCAGACATGATAAGCTTGTGCTGAAGGATTCGGGTCAGAAAAGATGAGCTGTCACATTTTTTATCAGTGACTGTAGGTAAAGGTCTAAGCACTCCTTCCATCGTCACCCATTTGATACAATGAAAGGCTGGCGTTTTAGACCAATTTAATCCAATCATTTTCTGTAAGCTTGTTGCTATAGTAACACAAGTGCTACATAAAAATGTTACTGAAAATGAAACTACATGTGGTCTATCTTACCTGTATTACTTGTGCCACCTGGTCAGAAAATATGTCAAATAGCTTTATGTCACTTGGAATGCCTGGTCCATCCTCCTTCATTGCATATGACGCTAACCTGGTAACAAACCAATTGCAGAATTACGATCCCGACACCCATGCTTCAAGGACACTTTAACCCCTCCCACGGCGAAGTCAAATTTAGCCCTAAAGTTTACTATTTTTGATTACATTATCAATTTTCAAATATATGTGCACCAGTATCGAGTGCCAACAGCATGTGCATATAAAGTACCGTATTTACTCGCACAATCAACGCACTCGCGTAATGAACGCACCCTCCAAGTCGGCTCTCAAAATTTCGACTTTTTTTTTCACTAGCGTAATAAACGCACCCCCAACTGGACGTCAAAATTTTGACCCCCTCCCCCCACGCGCGCGAAATGAACGCACTTTTCTATCCTGGTGCAGCGAGGTCGCGAATGCATGGGCAGGGTGGGCGAACAAAACGCCTTGCAAAAGGCGTTAAAAAATTCCCAAAGATCCAACGGAAGCAAGAAAAAAAAAACATGGAGAGGAGCTTTTTTTTTTTTTTTTTTTTTGCACAGCGCAGCCTGGATTTTGCGTTCGCGCGCCGCCGCGCGCAAGGAGGTAAGAAAGAGAAGCGCTCTAAGCGAACGAAACAGCTTGCAAAAGGCGGCGAAAACAAAAAAAAAAAAACAAAAAAACACGGAACTAAGAGAAAACAAAAGCAAAGAAGAGCTTTTTCTTGTTTTTTTTTTTTGCACAGCGCAGTTTGGTTGCGGGGGGTCGCGCGCCGCGCGCAAGGAGGTAAGGAAGAGAAGCAGAGAAGCCCTCTAGCAAACAAAACAGCCTGCGAAAAACAAAAAAAAAAAAAAAAAAAAACGACGGAATTGAGAAATCAACAAAAGAAAAAGAGAAGCTTTTTTTCTTAGTTTTTTTTTCTTTTCTTTTTTTTTTTGTACAGCGCAGTTTGGTTACGGGGGTCGTGCGTCGCGCGCAAGGAGATAAGAAAGATAAGCGGAGAGCCCACGCCTAAGCAACGCCTAAGCAAACAAAACAGCTTGCGAAAAACGGCATTTTTTTTTTTCACAGCTTAGTTTGGTTACGGGGTCGGGCGCCGCACGCAAAGAGATAAGAAGTTACTTCGATTTTCAGGATAAAATGTCTGTTCATTATGCGAGTAAATACGGGCGCAAAAATTTTACTTCGCGTAATGAACGCCCCCCCCCCCCCCCCCCCCCCCCCGAAGTTTGCATCGATTTTTCGGGAAAAAAAGTGCGTTCATTCTGCGAGTAAATACGGTATGTAACAACTAGAGATGCTGCAACCCTTTTTCGCAACCAAGGTTTTAAGGTCAAACCAAGGGGTTCAAACTTTTAATTATGTTAACAAATTTTATGATTTTCAAAGTTCCAAATATTTTGTGCTAAGAAATTTGACTATTTTCTAACTATTGAAATTGTCACGCTAAGAAATCTGACAATATTCTAACTTGTGAACCTACAAAGTTAGAAAGTTTGACGAACTTCAAAGGAACTTTGCCCCGAAGGTTTAAGGTAACAAATATAAATAAAACAAAAACACAAATGAAAATATTGCACTAAAGCTTACTTAGGTAAGTGCTAGCTTGATTATTGGCCCTAGGTGGTGCCACCAATGACTTGCTTTGGGGTGGCCTCAGCCTCATACCAGGGTGTTCTTGCGACATTCCCACAGAGCCTCCCCATGTAAAGCGCCATAGATTCCCCCCCGACGCAATGTGTGGGCCAATGGAGCCCTCGTCTACAGGCTTAAAATCTGACCAAGACACTTTGCTGGGGTGTCATTCATAACCTTTGTTTCTATACGTGATCCCTATATTTCTTGTTTACACAGCTCAGTCACTTTACCAGGATCAGGGAAAGGCACACAGAGAGGATGACGCTGACACGTGACAGCAAACGCTCGGTCGGTGCGAGCTAAATTATCATTTGTTAAATGGCAATGAGGTAGCCAGCTACAGTCTAGTGTGGCCAATATCTCCAGTTATTTTATTATTTATCGAAGGAGATAAGTGAGAGAAACTGAGCATGTGGTGAACATAGTGCACGAATGCTAGTGACCTGTTGAGCTGCATTTTTGGGGGCAAGGGGTCCCCCAGATTAGTCTGGTGGAATGTTCGTCAACCTTGGACCGTGTCGAGTGCATGCCCGTGTCCAGCATTTTTTATATCCTGAGGACCATTTCAACAGTAATAAACACCCGCAACAACTAAAAACTTAAGGGGAAGTGAAATTTCTTGCCCAAGTGCCTTTAGGTGCTGCATCGTCTTGTACATTTTGTTGTTTCGTGTTAGCATCGTATCTACATTTTAGGTAGTGTTCGATCGGAGTGCTGCCAGTTTGCAAAGAGGTAGGAAGGTCGTACACCAGACTGCTTCGAGACTCTCTGGTGAATTGTCCAACACTCGCTTCACGAGTTACAATAAATAATGAATAAACGAGAACCATAGTACTGAGGAAGTAGTAGGAAGGAGTCTTTATGGCATTGGTTCTCAACCACGTATGTTTAGGGGCCCCTTTCGGATCGGCGGAAGTGATGGAGGACCCCATCCCGCAGGGGAAGGGAGCTTTATCGAATGATGGCAATGACAAACGGATAAATGAAGAAAATTAAATGCATGCAAACCAACTTCGTAGCCCTAAAAACAGAAAATAATCCACCCCACTCACTCAGTGCACATGGTTTCGTCTACTGTAAATAACTTAATGTTCGCGAGGACCTAATTTTCGCAAATTCCACGAATCACCTGAAATGCGTGAAAAATAGGTCCCGCGAACAATGCCGGTAAAATGTAAAAACATGGAAATCTATATTGAGATCCCACCGCGTCGCGAAAATTAGAGCCCGCGAATTATTCCAGAACTTCAGCTTTAATCTAAAGCACGAAATATTGAGCCCGCGAAAAATACGTCATTTACAGTATTTAGTTTTGTGGGGCAGCCAACATCAATCAAAGCGAGTTTTAGTGCTCAACTCAGCTGATGGTCTAAGGCTTCGGCGACCCCAAGAAAGCATTCAGGGACCCCAAAGGGTCCGCAGACCCCCATGTAAAAACCACTGTTTTATGGCATACAAAACTTTTTTAATGCTTTTGGTCAAAATTGGTTGCACTTTTTGCAATTCTTCAAGATGAATTAGTAAAAATTTTATTAACAACAGCGGAATTCAATCTCCATCCATGAGATTCGAAGACTTCAAATTTCCCAAACCTAAACTTGAAAGAAATTAAAAAATTTAATTTTTTGCTTAGAAATAATGGAAACAGCGCGCAAACGACAAGGACGGGAGGAAAAGGAGTACACAGGACGAGCGCTGAAACTCCTTTTCCTCCCGTCCTTGTCGTTTGCGCGCTGTTTCCATTATTTCTAAGCATGAACCAACTCGCCCACATCGCTACTCTGATTAATTTTTTGCACAGGATTCTTAAAGGAATTCAAAACCTTTGAAGCCATACTATCGAAAACCTCAACACAACTTAAAAAATGCCACAAACTTTCTAATAGTGCATTCGATCTGAAGGTCAAACCAAATACACACAGTGATACTCTAAATGTAGTTAGTATTTGAAAGTTTAAATATTTTCAGATGTCTAGTTCATTTTGTAACACCTGGTTTCAATGTTCTAAATAATGGTCACAAGTGAAAAACGCTGACCAAAAAACTTGTTACTATAATCAAAAAAAGGAAACATTTCCTGATAATTACAAGTTGGCACTAATTCTTTGCAAGCAAGCAACTTTGCAAGTAACAACCTCGGTTTTCTGCAAGGAAGATATTCCTCTTAGTGTTCCCCCTCTCCTAAGCTGCAAGGGGAGCCAAGTTGGAGCACAAAAGTGGAAACTGCAAAGTGTACGTCGCCCTTTGATCGACTTCAGGCCTGTAAGCTTTTTTCATTCCCAAATATGTCTAATAATCTGAAATAAATGAAAATAATATTTGGATATCTCTATCAAAACCTGAAGTTTCGGAACAGTATATATGAGCGAAGAAATAAGATTCTGATATATACGAATTTTAAGCTTTCACATGATAGACTGTCATAGAAAAGTTTGACAGAACCTTGTATTTATAGTTGTTTTATTGCTCCCTCCTCTCAACAGGAAGAGTAGTATCTTGTTACCACCCAGAGTGAATTTACCCAGTCTATACCGACCAAGACTATAAATCCAGAACGGGGAAAATGACTGACGACTCGGCTCAATCTCTTCTTCGGGTTCACCAATCTCTCAAGAAGGCTATGAAACGTAATTCACCAGGCTCACCAACATAACAGACAACACAGGGATGGACACCTACGATCACTCAATAACTAAGTGTAACATAAAAATATCCACCTACCTGTCAATCAGGGAAATGATGATGTTCTTGACATTCACTTGCTGCCGTAGCTCGGCACAGGCCTTGAGAAAGCTGCTTAGGGTTTGCAAGTGAAACTCGTCTGGGAAAACTTGAATGATGCACTCCATAAGGTACTCTTGGGCAATGGCATCCCTGCAGCTCACGACTTGCTCCAGGATGCCAGGAAGGACCACCTTGTGAAACAACAAACAATAAAGCTACAACTTCAAAGGAGATTACTTATAGTATCTGAGCCCAATAGTTAATTACGTCAGTGGAGGCTGAAAGTTTCCTTTCATAGCTACTTGACTGACAAGCTAACTATTTTTAGCTAAAGTCTGCAAAGCACCTGGGAGGAACTTTTCAGATGCTACATGCTTGTAAGCATGGCCCTGAACTACAAGAGGCGTCCCAAAAGTTCTTAACCTGACCCAGAAGAAGGCGACAGAGGTGAATGAACTATGTTACTTTTTGACATAGTCCCCTTTGAGGCCCACACACTTAGCCAAATGATGGTCCAGTGCTTAAGGGGAAAAAATTGAAAGTTTGGTCCTCCAAAAAGCGTGACACAGCATCAATGACGCCCTCCTCACCGAAAAAGCAAAGACCAGAAAGTTTATTTTTCAGCTGGAGGAAGAGAAGGAAATCTGATGGGGCAAGATTTGGAGAAAATGGCATATGGTTGAATGACCACAGAGAAGCCGCAGGAGTGGTTGGCAGCGATCACCACAACAGCGCAGTGTGAGGGTGCCTTCTCCTGAAGGAACAGCACCCCTTTTGAACACACCGTGACTTTTGGCCTTGATGGCATCCCGCAAGCAATAAATCAAGGTTTTATAGTAGTTCCCGGTGATGCTGTGCCCTTTCTGAAGGTATCACTAAGCAGCACACCCTCCGAATTTCATAAAACCATGGTCATCACCTTGCCTGTGGATGAAACAGACCGAGCCTCCTTTGGCCGTGGAGAGGAGAGGTATTTTTACTGTTTAGACTGGGCTTTGCTGTCGGGTTGGAAGTGCTGAACCTAGGTGGGGCACAGAAGCCTGAGAGACCTGAGCTGACCAGCTCGAGATTGCCTCTGGATGAGGTGTAGTAGGTGTGTGTTTGGTCACGCGAGAGCAATCTTGGAACCCATCTGGCAGAAGACTTGTGAATGCAAAGGTGTTGGGTCAAGATCCGATGAACTGTGGTTTTGGAGATACCTGTGACCTGCGCAATGGTCCAGATTTTTACTTGGGGATCTGCCATTACCTCATCGTGCACACGGTCAATGTTTTCTTGCATGGTCACTTCCGCAGGTCTGTCAAAGTAAGGGTCACCTTCGAAGCACTCCCACCCTTGACTGAATTTTTCAGCCCACTTCTTCACCGTGCTGTGGGATGGGACGTCCTGTGCTTACATCACCACCATGCCTTCGTGGATGCCTGCCAGAATTAGGGCCTAGCTTGCAAGACAAATATTCAATCCCCGAACATGTCTTCACTTTCTTCATTTTAGCTTGACTGTGAGGACTGTCACGTGTTGGCGGCCGCCGCAAAAAAACGGTATTGTGCACATGCGCCATTTTTGATGTTGCAAATCTTAAGAAGTGCCCATGTGTTATAGGTAATAAAATTTTGTGTCTGTGCTCACATTCCTTCCGTGTCAGACCGAGAACTTTCGGGACGTCCCTCGTAGATGCTGGAAACAAGACATCCTCCAACCAGGATACTCAGCGCTCGGAGCTGAGAAATAACCAGTTACAAGAAAGCTAACTCCTCCCATTAATTACTCTTTGTATTTGTCCTTCCTTTCTTTCCCCCCCCCCCCCTCCTTTCCCTTCCCTGTTTTCAATGTTAAAAGACTGTAAAGCTATGAACTGCTTGCATAATTCTGTTCTGTTCCCATGGAGTTCATGTGCCCAAAGAGAATGAGTAGCATGCTGAATTCACAAGAAGGTCAGACATGGTAGCAAAGAAATGCAAGGATCACCTTTTTGTAGCGGTCCATATCAACAGCATCCAGCTGTGACAAACGCACCAAGTTGGTGCCGACAAGTAAGCGCAGTTCCTGGCGCTCTTTCTCTCGTCGATCGCGGTCTCGCGAATGGCCCTGGTGCTGCATCCGCACCCACAGCTTGTTCATCTCGCCAAAGTTGAGCAGCACAAAATCCACAGAGTCCTTCACTGTCCCGCTCACATCGCTTTCCCTGCACAATATCATGACTAATGCTTAGTTACATTGTCAAGAGAACCACTACCAAATAAGAAGGCACACATGAGGCATGTCACAGTTGATTGGCCCTAACTTGTTAGCACACAGAAACTACACTGCTGGCAGCTGAAATGTTTCAATTCCCGGCAATTCAGATCTCTATGATCATGAGCTCAATACAAAAAAGCAATTTGTGAGGGTTCCAACAACAACCCAGAAATTCAATAGTCCAGCCTACACATTTACATTAGTGTCCCCAATGCCTAAATTTGTACCATGGCATGGGCTCTTCAAATAAGCAAATCTAGGCCACTTAGGGTCAAGCCACTGCTAGCCACTTACAAAGTCATCTAACACACATGACTACGGCTCTTCACAACAGACAATTCTACTAAAGTGAGCTTGTTAAGAATGTTGAAGAAAACTAAACATCTGGAGGGCGGCCCTTATACTCTGGGTCACTGGGGTGGCAACACGTATTTGGGCCACTGTACTCTAGTCGAGGGAAAGAGGAGAAAGAAAGAGTCAATGAAAGAAAAACAAATGAATAAACTCACACTTGTATGCAATCACACATAACAACAGAAGGCATGAAAATGATGGGATTGGCAGATTAAAAAAGGAGGCTGAATAAAAGGAGGAACCAAGGGAAATGGGAAGCCAGGAAACAAAGAATACAAATTTACAAGGGAAAATCAAAAACGATACAAAGATCATGAAGGGGGAGAAGGAGGGTTAAGCATAGTTGAGTTAAATAAAAGCAGCTGATTTTCTCGGCCCTTTTCTTTAAAGTGGTTAATCAATTTTTTTTTTTTTTTATTCCAGCAAACTTATAAAAACTAAATTTAGTTCTAGCCCTATTTATGTATTAAATTAGATTGAGTCTCCCATTATAATGCAGGAACAGACCAGGGAAATTTATTTGTATATTCCTTACCCCCCCCTCCCCCACCCTCTTAAGTCTCTCCTCAAACTGAACTTAGAATACAAAGTTAAATGAAAAAAAAACTAGTATGTCACACAATCCTCAGCAAGAATGGCAACATTCACAATATACAGCTGCACCCAGCAACATACATTTGGAAAGGTACACAATGAATGTGTACAGTCAGGACCAGAGCAAGATACCAGTCACACAGACCATTATAGAGCCACTGAACAGTACCTTATCAAAACATCTAGAACCAAAGTTTAGGATGAGGATAAGGCTTTGCCCCAAGTGTGAAGATACTCATTTGAAGCAGACAGTCATAAGGCAAGAATCAAAAATGTTTCATTTTAAGCTCATCAATATCTAAACATCAAATAAAACAGGAAGAAGACAACACAGACCTAGTAGAGCTATTCGGACCCACCACTTTCATGCAGGTTATGCAAAACATGCAACAGCAAGTTGAGCAGAAGAGGGTAACCACTCTATACCATGTCATTTGTGTACCGCTAACAGCTCAAGAACAGTCTAGGGCACTCAAGAGAGCCACACCTGCTTTTAATGTGTCTCGGGGCTGAATACGAGGGTTACACATGTATCTATCCAGCATCAAAGAAATGAAGAAAACAAACTGGCTTTGGTGCTTGGTACTTTTTGTGACCATCCTGTTAGCCTTCGTGATCTCGATACCAGCTTTTCCAATCACAAACCTCAAGACTGACTGCAGATATTGAACTTTTTAATAATGCAGAAATGGCAAAGCTCACCTCGAGTACATCAGCAGCTCAACCTTGGCACCATCCGCATTCAAGTTGGCCTCATTCCTAGAAGAGAGAAAAATAGGGGTGAAAGATTCATTTTACCCTCTGGAGTTCCCTAGATTTAAAAAGGCCATAAAACTTTCCCTGTCTCATCTCTCTTCTTCTCAACAGTGGTCGAACTACTAACACCTCACAACTTCTGCCATAGGGTTGCACGATGAATTCGGGTGGTCAATCATCAACAACTTATTTTGCCGAACAACCGGCAATAGTGTTCGCTTCTGGCCGGCGTGCACAGTTCTGGTGTTGGTTGTCCGGAAAGCACCGGCAACTTTCCGGCGCTTTTTCCGCCCGAGCTCCGAACGGCCGGGCAAGCAGGCGCCAGACTGTATCCGGTGTCATCACCTCTAAGATTGGGCAGGAGGTCAGTCAGCAAAAATGAGCGAAAGAATGAAACTGATCCGAAGTCACTTAAGCAGCCAATAGTCGAGTCAATTCAAGCCGTTGGGACAATGGGAAATGGAGGACATGGGTGACGGCGGAGACAACCTCTCACTAGTTTGCATTGTCAATGCTGTAACGGTAACAAGTTTGTTACTTCTTGAAGACTCGGACGACAGTGATAGTGACAAAGCTGAGGAGGACATTACTCTGTTTAAAACAACCTTCTATTAATTTTTTTGCTGCTCCTGAGCTGAGGCCATATTCATTTCGTTCATCCGAGCTAGACTAATCCAAGCGCTGACTTGGCGAAATACATGTTTTTCCTACGGATATTAACAACCAACCCAAAAGGAGTGCCTGAATAAATGGGTGTATTTTTGGCTTAGTGGCACTATTATGTGATAACTTCTGCCACCTAGGCATAACCAAAGAAAATAGATGAAAAATGCTACTAGCGGTGTCTTGTGGACAAGCGGCGAAGTAAACTGCCACAGTCTAGCGTTTCGTGTTCGGGTGCTGAGGGTCATGTGGTGTGCCGCCAGCGTGTTTCTGGTTGCCGGCGCCGCCAGCTCATTCTCACCGGCGATTAACCACCCAAATTCGCCATAACGACAGTGCATTATTTGACAACTCAAAGCAAGAAATTAAATGGGTATCATGTGGCTATTAGCTACAGAGCCTCGACAGTGTTAGGGCTACAACTATGTTCATTCTCAAAAGGAAATGTCCTGCGAAGTCGCAGAGCAACAGCTAATCATTCAAGAGGAAACTTTGCACCTTCATAGCTGGTGTGGCAAGATGATGTTCCCACATCTGTTTTTGTTTTAATAAAAACAAATATATAAAAAAAAGCTAGTTTTTAACTTCTTTTTTTGCCTCTTTTAATAGCAGGACTAGACAAAAACAGCCTATATAGAAGAAGCCATGATGGCACTCACAGCAGCTGCTCCTCTTCACTGTCTGGAAGAATATTGCGTGTGCACTGAAGCAAGTAGTTGCGCAGAAACAGCCCTCGCAGAGGATGTTGCACGCCACGACACATCTCTACCAGGTCCTTGAGAATGTCTTTCTTCGAGTGCTCATTGGACTTCATATAAACAAGGCCCACAGTAATGAGCAGGTATCTGCGTAAAGAAACAACCATGATGAATTGACAACTACTGCACAGGGCACAAAGCACACATTTGAAAAAATTTATCTCCTGCATCTACACAACTGAAGGGCTACATGCAAGAACCAGGAATGTCAAGAATGGCATCCTATGAATAGTAATGTTTGTATGCAGGGCTGGGCAGAGATACTCCAAGAAGTACTCCGGAATACAAATACCGATACATGTACTTTAAGGGCAAAATACAAATAATGAGATAAACTTGTTTTTCGTGTAATGGGATATCCCTAAGATCCTTCTGCGAAAACGACACAAAAGTATTTTGGAATACAGATACCAGATACAAAAATAAAATACATATTTTTCCCAAGAAGTGGTAGGGGCAGGGTGCAGTTTGTGGTTAACGTAAATGGTAGTGCTTGTTTGTATTCCTCTCTTTATGTCAGCTTATGCATCTTCTCTTACCTCAAATTCATCTATTCACAACTACAATCCCATATGCCACAAAAAAAAAAAAATGTTGCTATTAGTGAATTATTGAAGACTAACGGCTGTCTGCCATGCTTGACCAACGGCTGTCTGCCCGAAATAAACCCAATTTTGCAGTGAAGGCATGTCTCAAACTGTCCGTCCAGAGAGATTGAACAAAGAAGCCAGACCTAGTCCTGAACAGATGCCATGCAGGAGGAGAAACCCCTCCTAAAGTTTTCTACTCTTCATGACTTATGCTTTCCTCCTTCCATGCGCCTCCTTTACAGTGCTGGCTTTGCTAAAGTGGAAAGAGTAGAGGGCTCTCTGGGAGGAGCTTACCCTGCTAACCTTGAAATTGACCATTCCTCAAACCACTTTTTTTTTTTTTTTTGTGATTGTGATATATTAGGCAATCAGACTTCCCCCCTGTAGAGGGGATTCATATTAAAAGTTCTGGAACTCCTTGTACCAAAAAGGTAATGTTTATTTGTTAAAAAAAAAAAAAAAAAAGCAATACATCTATCGTAAATGCATTCACTACTGAAATACAAACACATTTTTCAAAAGTATCTCGATACAGAGAAACAGATACCCAAAAGTATCTCCGAGATACTATCGCAATACATTTGTATCACTATACTGCCCAGCCCCATTTGTATGCCAAGTAAGCAAGCCCAGAGTTCCCTAAATTTCGCATATGGAACAGAGCAGAGAGTGTGAAGAAGGTAAGTATCTACGAAATAACACTACTGTAAAATACCGCGGAAGCACATACTTCATTCAAGCGCCCACTATTAACATTTCCCAAACTTGGGAATTCTGCAAGTTATACGTTAAAGCACTCGATTCGATCGGACAAGCGCCCATGTCTAGATTAACTCAGTTTTCAGTGGAAGTAGGGTGGGCGCTTCTCCAATAATTTACGGTAAGTAAAATTTGTGGGATTTACGTGGCAATCTAATGAAGGGCATATGGCATGTTTCAGCGCAGGACTGAGGATTAGTTTGGACCACCTAGGTGTCTTTTAATGTGCAACCGAACACTTGGTTTCACGGCACCTTCTCCTCAATAAGCATCAGTCAGAGTGGGAGCATATCGGCCGGGATTTAAACCCGCCACCTGGGGATACGTAGGCGGTGCTTCACCTAATAACACTACCGTAAATACTGGGGAAGCGCTCACCCTACTTTCACTGAAAACTTGGTTGACCTAGATGTGTGCGCTTGGCCGGCCAAATCGGGTGCTTATCATACAATTTACACAATCACCAAGTTTGGAAAATGTTACTAGTGGACGCTTGAAGAAAGTGGGCGGTTCCACGGTATTTTACGGTATATAGAGTGACTAGATCCAGAAAAATGCAATGTGGTAAGAAATATGGATAGCGGATTTTTGTATGTCGCACCATGGAGTCAACCAAAAATGATATTCAACATGAGGGAAATAGAAAACTCCCTTGAGGGACTAATTAACCTACACAAACATTCCAATTCTTTTTTTTTTTTTTAGGATTTTTCAATTAGGAATGTTACAATTTTATAAAATAAATATTCTGCAGAGCAAAGTAGGCACCGCACATACTTCAGAAGGGGTTGCACATACTCGACAAAGCCTGCAAGGCATAGTCACTCCGATAAATATCCTGAAGTGAAAAAGGCCATCCTCCCCAATACCACCATTGATTAGAGCAGGTACGACTGGGCAAGTTGCCACTTCTATAATAATAGATTTGCTTGTCGATGTGTACTATACAAAACACAAGGGTAGCAGAAGCTATTACGAGGAACTAAAAAAATGCTCGACTTATCTTGATTTTACAGATAAAGTTGGTGTACACAGAATGTGTTTCTGCGAATTCTTTGGGGTTTGTGGTGGACACAGCAGTTTCTTTTTCTTCGGTTATAACTAGGGCTCAGTGTTTTCGGAGTTTTTCACGAAATTCGGAGGGTGCTTTTCGGAGTTTATTTTTTAGCGAAAATTCGGTGTTTATCGGAGTTTATTTTTTATAAATCCCCAATTCTCCAAAATTCGGAGATAAATTTCACAGTGTTTCCTATTAAAATAATAAATAATAACCGGACGCAAATGTATGCCAGATAAAAAATAAAACAGACTAGTATAAATTAAGATTTCTTGAGTTGAATTTGGCGTTGGTGTCATTGGCAATACTAATTTGTCCCACGACAAAAGTCTCACACGTGTGGCTTCGACAAACGTCGATACCTTAAAATCAATAAACTGCCGGAGATAGCCGCAAGGAAGCTCGTGGTCATCCCATCAATCTATCCCGCTGCCGTGCGAGGTGGATGTAATAGAGAAGTTTCAACTGCCCCTCTTCCCTATTTTATACAATCTCTATGGTCCATAGCTTTCACTGTTACCCCCAGAAACATACCCTCTTGCTTCTTTAAATTCCAAATTCCATGGCCCAAACTGGAAACGGAAAGAGTGGCTTTTGTCGTGTCACGAATGGTACGATGACCTGTTTCCCTGAACCAACCTTGACGAGACAAGCTGTAAGACCCCCTTTGACAACGGTCCGAGGCTTGAAAGATAATTATGGTGTCATTTTCCCAGGACCATTGAGCCTGCGCTGCCAAAAATGTAAAAAAAAAAAGGAAAAAAAAAAAAAGGAAAAAAAAAGCTTTTTCTTTTTTTGTTGTTGGGGGAAGGGGGGTGGCATGGACACAACAATTCGGAGTTTATCGGATAAATCCGAATTGCCAAAAATTTTACCGGCGGGTGTTTTTCGGATTTATCCGAAAACACGGAGCCCTAGTTATAACATGCTATTTTATTCCAAGCTCTGTTCTTTTTTATGTGATAATGGGCACGTCTTGGATTTCTTGTTCTTTCCCACAAATTGTTTGAATGTGAACGCCATAACACCAAATGCCGGCGCTTGTGTTCAAGCAGTTAGTAAAGACCACCGTATGACATCTACCGATTAATTGGCGCAGTGGTAGAACGTCAAGCTCACAATCGTGGGGTCATGGGTTTGATTCTCATTGGGGTGTGTTTAGAACTTCCTTCTTTCCTCCCAATTTAACACTCTTTTGCACAGATTGCCCCCTAAAGTATGTGTTGCACATTTCGTAGCGGTTCTCGTTGCATTCTGTCACACTTTCTACAGGGATCCCAGCCCTCAAACACATTCTGTGTTAAAAAGCGAGCCTTCCAGAGACCATCACAATGCCAGCCGACATTTCACTCACAGGCTTATAAAAGTCTCAATAAAATGTGAGCCACCAGCCTGGGCAGTGGCATAGCCAAGATAATGTTTTCCAGGTTGTGAAGGAATTGAGGCCCCATAAACCCCACCCCACCCCACCCTCCCAGGCTATGCTCGAATCTGGGGCTCCCCGAGCGATTCCTGCGCAAAGTCTGTCTAGATATAACGAGGTGTTTGCTCCCTTAGCAATCGCATACTGGCCTTTTGTGTTCTTATGTTTCTTAGGCATAAACCACAAAAAACGTTCAGCCTTTCCACGCTAAGAAAGACCAGCGGAGCTGTACTTGATACACTGTGTGCTTCTTCGTCGTCGTCTGTTTTTCACGCTGTTTCCTACGATGAATTCCTACCAACGCGCCCAACTATCCATTCTTCTATTATAGCTGGAAAGGTTTCCGCCATCTACGAGCGACGGCAGAAACCATACTGGTTGTGTGCTTGCTGCCGTCGCTTATAGATGGCGGTAGCTGTCCAGGTAGGTTTGTGTCGACATACACGAACACGATCCTGGGGAACCTAGCCCTTAACAGCTCCGCTGTAAAAACGAAAAGTCTGACTTCACAATGGATGGTGATGAGTGGCAAGAACATAGTGGTAAGAACTTAGCACGGAATTATGCACTAACTCTAGCAGAGGTACTTACAGACGAGGGATGATGTTCCCAGCATACTGGACGAGCTCGTAGAGATCGGACATTTTCCGTCCTCTCTGAATTTCGTCTAGGAGGTGAATCTCTAGATGCCTTAACTCATCAGTGACTGCCATATCTGTGTAAACACTATTAAAGAAAGTACGAAACAACTTTATGAACAAATTGAAAATGTCACACTACAGGAGACAAATCCTCAAATTTAGCACATGCTTTGACCTCGCAATGAAAGGATACACAGCTCATAGTAGCTCTTGGGGCTCAGAAGGGAGGTGCGCAATTCACCGAGCATGTTTGAGGCATGTTTCAATGCTTCCATAAGCTTGCTCTTGTCGAGGCAACGCTTCATGTGGAATGCTTGAACCTTGACGACGCCCGAGGCATCGTCAAGAAGCTTTTCTTGGTCCTCTTGTGGTGGAGCTTGTGGGGTTTGAGGCTAAAAATAAATAGGTTATGAAAAAAAAAAAATACAGATTGGAAAACACACCACCCTAATGTAGTACGCCATGTCTTTTCTGATCGATTGCAATTTTATAGCATACACAACATGTTATGCCGTGTGAAACAAGAAATTTCTGTTTGTTTGTTTTGTGTGTGTTTGCTGTAGTAACATTTTCCAACTTCTCGCATAAGGGACGAAAACACACGATGTATAACACAGGTTTGCACGACAAGTTTACAATGAAATGGGCAAGACTGCGAGCTCTACATATATTTGTTCGCGATCGGTTTCATGTCTCTTGTTCGCAATGTTAACATGCAGCAAAGGATTTGTATTCTCGTCGCCAACTGAGGAAGTTACGATCACGATAGTTGCATCAAAGCGCTTTTGAAGGTTCTATGTCGCGTATCATAGGACCACAGCAGCTAAGGTCAACGTGTAAATGTCCACTCAAGTAGCTAACGGCGACAACGAACGACGAATGGAAAGCCAAAGCCAAGAACTCAAATTCAAGGAATCAAGAAGTGCTCAACATTGAAAACGCAGATTTCATAATAAGCCAGTAAGAACAAGCCTAGTTACAACTATTTCCCTTTTATCCTAACCAAGTATCAATACTGCGTACCATTTTCAGATGTTCGCTGTTCGTCAGTTGACAAGGCTAGACAGAGCCTTCCTTCGCCCAGGAATGAAAATATTGAAAATAATAGTTATCTAGTAAATCGACAGCTTACTGTTCTAGAACTATGCACCACACAGAAAACATGAAAAGATCTCGATAAACGCCCACCACGAATTGAACACGGCAAAGCAAGTCAGCACTGAAGCGATACTGTTCAAGTGGTACCACAGCTCTCCAAGCCAGTACAGGGCAGGCCGAGGAGTTCATTTGCTCATATCTACTTTAAACATATGCTACGACTCTAAATAGATTTTCCTGGTGACCAATATACGAAGCTCCACGTCACTGTAGCAACGCTAAAGCTACGTTGCTGTGGAAAAATAAATCACGCTTTTTATTATATTTAAGATTAATGAGTATTTTTCTATGGGGGTTAGTAAAACTTTCACGTTTATACCAGTAAATGTTAGGCTTAAAGTTTTTATTCAAGTCGAGCCAGGTCAAGTCGATCCAGGCTGCATAGATGCATAGATAGAGAGTACATTGACCAGAGCCGTATATGTAGAGAGTTTGGTCAATGGGAGGCGCGGGCAGCGCCAGGGCGTGTGGCAGACTCGGAAAGAGGGCTTGGCATGCTCTCTTGACCAACCAGAAGCCGAAAAGAATCCCCTAGCGGTGGTAGCGAGAAACAATTCTGAGCCGATCGATAATCGAAGGTCTATGTTCGTATATGCTTTTAATAAGTGCGTAAGAGTGAAGTGTAGTAACTCTTTGTGGTTGAAAATAGGGTGCACATGTTGTCTCATCATGATCATGCAGAAAGATGTAAGAAACGAATGCGCCGCTCAACTCTGTTTTGCGCGGACAGAGTGTGACCGCTCTGACGGCAGATTCCCGGCGCTCGGCGTTTGGCGTAAGGATTATGTCGATCTTTCCGCTAGTCGCACTCTTCCACCATCATTTTGGATGAGCGTGATTGAAGCATCACGTGTACCATATTTTCAGCCATCGAGAGTTACTCCAATGCAGTTATCAGGTTTGTTTCTCGCGACCACCGCCAGGGTATTATTTCCGGCTTCTGGTTGGTCACATTCGAATTTCTGAAGACGCCCTGGAACACGCCCAGCCCGCTTTCGGCCAATGGCGCCGCTTCATTTGTCTCCTATACTTCCCAACGCATGGCCAAACTCTCTACATATACGGCTCTGACATTGACCAGAGCCGTATATGTAGAGAGTTTGGTCAATGGGAGGTGCGGGCAGAGCCAGGGCGTGCGGCAGACTCGGAAAGAGGGCTTGGCATGCTCTCTTGACCAACCAGAAGCCGAAAAGAATCCCCTAGCGGTGGTAGCGAGAAACAATTCTGAGCCGATCGATCATCGAAGGTTTATGTTCGTAAATGGTTTTGATAAACGCGTAAGAGTGAAGTGTAGTAACTCTTCATAGTTGAAAATGGGGTCCACGTGTTGTTTTGATCATGATCATGCAGAAAGATGTAAGAAACGAATGCGCCGCTCAACTCTGTTTTGCTCGGACAGAGTGTGACCGCTCGGACGGCAGATTGCCGGCCCTCGGCGCTTGGCGTACACAATTATGTCGATCGTTCCGCTAGTCGCACTCTTCCACCATCATTTTGGACGAGCGCGATTGAAACATCACGTGTACAATATTTTCAGTCATAGAGAGTTACTCTAATGCAGTTATCAGGTTTGTTTTTTGCGACCACCGCCAGGGTATTATTTCCGGCTTCTGGTTAGTCACATTCGAATTTCTGGAGACGCCCTGGAACCCGCCCAGCCCACTTTCAGCCAATGGCGCCTCCTCATTTGTCTCCTATGCTTCCCAACGAATGGCCAAACTCTCTACATATACGGCTCTGACATTGACCCAATAAGGTGGCAGCTTGCGTTACCTATGTAGTGTTTAAATTTTTAAGTGCAAATTGTTTTATTTTTAAAATAGAAGCCATAAAAAATAGAACTCTAAATGGTGCAATGTTGCTATTTCTGACGATATGCATAATATTTACTTTTGATTATTCATCTCATCTCCAAATCTGACGGCGCTTCCTGGTCCCGCGAGTGAAGCCACCGGACGGCCATCTTGCTCGTAAGCGAATTGTGGCTCTGCTAGCATTACAGAGGCTGGCGGCAACGTGCTGAAGGCACACTTTCTACTCGTTCGTCGTCATTCGCTGAAGAAGTTTTCTAAGACCTTGTGAAAGCGTTGAGACTTGCCGTTAAGAACACGTGGAAAATTTTACGAAAGCACAGTCCACAGGAAAAGGGCACAACTCCTAACAAGCATGCTCCGCCGGACTCGCGGAGGGATCACAGCTTCCTTGGCACGCCGAAGTGTTGCATCTCTGTGCCTTCACATGCTTGGATATCGATCAAGAATCGACTCTGCGGCAGAGTTTTGAAGGTGTGTCGCGCGTAAATGTCTTTGCGTCATATATCGGCCACGGAGTTCTGGATCGTCCAGCTGTTCAGGCAAGTTGCTATCAATAAAGGGGGGGAGGGGGGAACTATCTGTATGGTTGCTCTTACTCACTACTAACCATGACTATGTTCCACATCTACTCTAATGCATCACATGGCAGCACAAATAGAGCAACGCTCTAGAGCAAGGATGGTTTTCGAAGGCAAAAGTACAAGACGGCGAGATTGAAAATCTTTGAAGTATGGCCCATATGGTCGTGCGCAATCTGCTGACCAATCACAATTAGGCGAGCCACGCTCAAACTTGATGCCACATGCAGTTGTTGATAATGAGCTAGACCACTGATCAGTGATGAGGAGCTCCTCCCCCCCCCCCACCCCCTTTCTGTTGCCATTAGACGCTGGATCAAGCTCGTTTCTGCACTACGAATGCCACAAGTCACAAACACAGTCGTCAGAGTAAAGTAAAATGCTGCTCCAGAGGCACATACAACTGAGCGCACATTGCCCTTGTAAAACACATCCACAATGCTGGATATCAATCTTGATTGGTATCCAAGCATGCCAAGGAAGCTTTGATCACACCGCGAGACCGGCATTGACGAATTGTGCCTTTTTCCTGCGGCACTTCCCTTTTGTAAAATTTTCAACGTGTTCTCAACGGCAAGTCTCAATGCTTACACAGGGTCTTAGAAAACTTCTTCGGTGAATGACGACGAACAAATAGAAAACGTGTCTTCAGCACGTTGCACGCCAGCATCTGCAACACTCGCAAAAACAGTCAAATTTGGGGCTTTTACGTGCCAAACCAACGGCGGGCATCTGGCACGCCCCAGCGGAGGACTGAGGATTAATTTGGACCACCTGGGATCTTTCAACGTGCAACCGAAAGCTCGGTTACAGGGCGCCTCCTTTGCAATAAGCCTCCGTCAGATTGCGGGCACCTCGGCCGGGATTTGAACCCACCACATGGGGATCCGTAGGCCAGCGCTCTTGCCTCGGAGCCACCGAGGCGGCTCAACGTCAGCAAAACCACAATTTGTCTAAGTGCAAGATGGCCGTCCGGAGGCTTCACTAGCGCTGCAGTGACCAAGCGGGGAAGCACGGGCCAGTAATTGTCAGAGATCAGTGATCCGAAGCATCTTTTTGTGACCGGACACACACTAGTGCCCCTCATTCTCTGCCGCCGTACTTCTCAACGGGCAAAAGCAAAAAAAAAAAAAAAAAATTAAAAAATAATAATAAATTAATTAAAAAACAATAACCTCACCCCTTGACGAGCGTTTTTCCTGTGTGTGAAAGCACCTTTAGAGGCAGAAAAGAGAAGACAATATTTTGATCAACTAATAAAATACTCTTAGCATCGTCCTCTGCTTTCCCTTGCCATCTATTCTTGTTTTGATTTGAGAATGTTCCCCTCACTACAAAGGACTGTTAAACATTCTGCAGCAAAATAAAAATGTTTCATTCAAAACAAGATAACACATTTATTTCATAGATATCACAATGTCTACTTGAATGCTCCATGTATCCAAAGGGCAGTTCTAAACACTAAGTCAGACATGGATATTAAACAAAAAAAGTAGTACAACAAATATTTATTTAACAAATACTAGGTGTGAACATACCAGGAACATAAGCAGAAGCTTGAAACATTTGCACAGATCCAAGTCGCCAAGTGCTTCATTCAGTCACTGAGGTAAACTATGTAAGAATGAAACCTATACATACTTTTCCATTGTGCTGACGCACAGATGTTTGTGAAATTTGCAGCTTACCAAGCAACAAACCATCGTCTGCAGGATCCTAGAGGCCACTTGGTATCAAAAGAGGAACTGCACATGTTAGCATGCATGAAACACCGAAGGGTACCATCAAGAAATGCAGAAAGCAATCACTGCTTGCCATATGCTACTTCACAAGCTACACAACATGTGTGATGGTGGTACACAGATAAAGGTTGGCAAATACTGTCAACAAGCCGTTTCCACCCAGAACCTAAGAGAAAAAAAAAGGAAAGAGTTGTGCAACTATGCTAGACAGCACGTGTAGACTAGAGCTCTCAAGATTTCAGAATATCCTAGTCAAAAAATGTTAACATGAATTGTGTAAAGTTTACAATATCTACATTTGATTACTTGCTCAGGTTCAACTACCAAATGGGTCACTGTACCAGTTCTTAAGTACAAAAAAGTATAAAAAGGCAGCAAAGCACAGATCTCCCATGCATGTTTAGGTTGTGGGTGTGATAGAATTACCAAGAGAACCCTTCCCATCCAAATATTATACTAAACAATCTGTGTTACTTGTCTGCATTTATCGAAGCAGGGCATAGACTCACAAACATACAACAAAATAAAGAACTGAAGCCAACTGGAGTTAGGAAGTTAATAAACAGTGGTTAAATAATACAATACCTAGCATTATTTTGTTCAGCAAAGCTCTTTTGTGCACTCGAATTTCCATCAGGATAAAGACGTTTTCTCCCTGCTACATCAGGCAAAAAAATGAAGTGGAGGTAACCCAAGTGACAGACGAAAAAAGGAAATTATGCAAAAAGGTAACAGAGGAGGCCCTACTTTTGATCAAGTCAGAATCAGCATTCACTTCAAGATGCACACAGGGCAAAAGCATCAGCAGCCTCATAAAGCTTCTGGCACACAGACAAGTGCACAGAAAGGCTTTTAACTCTCACCTACAGGGTGGCAAAAAATATTTTTAAAAATGACAGGTTTTCTTTTATTGTAAAAATAAACTACATATGCCTCGCTGAATGCTCATTCTCCTCCCAAATGTAGCGCTAGCGGTCCGAACCAGATAGCAGAGTTTCAGACTAACTGTTATCTTATTAAAAAGTTATAGTTGATCTCCGAAAATTTCAATGGGAAAATGGCAATTGACGGAGCTCTTGAATACATGGAGATGAATATCATCAGTTACCGAAAACGGGCCACATTTTCCCATTGAAATGTTAAAAAAAAATCTATTAAAACTTGTGATTCAGATAACGGTTAGTTCTGAAATTTCAGCAACTGGTTCAGATTATTAGCACTACATTTTGGGCAGAGAGTGAGCGTTCAGTGATGCATAATTTATTTTTGCAGTGAAGAAAACACTAAATTGATTTTTGTGTATGTTTAAAAAGACTCATCTCCGTTACACCAATTTTTGGAGGCACACAGATAGAAGTGACCAAGGTGCTTGCTGGACTAGAATGCACATCACCGTAACCAAAAGCAATGTTCAACATACAGCATTCTTATCGCATGTCTTAATGCATTGAGCACACCTAAAAAAACTTGCCTCCAATAATGGCCTGTAATGTTGTCACATAATATATGTGCAGTCATAGGAGGCCTAGCCCACAGAAAAATAAAATTAGATGCTTTCAACACACAGAGATTGTTTTGCTAGACATATCTATGTGCATGTCTCAAAGGTCAAAACACAAGTGACAGAAATGAAAGGAAAGCGACGCCTCTGCATTTCTTCTATCAATTGGCATGCTAGACAACTGTTGAGCCAAACTGTTAAGCACTTCTGGAGCTGGACAATGCCCTACCAGAACTCACTTGTTCAAACCACGACTTTCACACTGAGAGAGCCCAACACAACTTTGGTTGTGAGGTTCAGTCTATCCAAAGAGTAAACCAAGGAAGCAGTTCTCTTGGAAGCCGGCTTACAGCAGGTCAAAAGTTGAGAGACATACAACATGTATGCACAGTTAATAACTGGGCAGCTATCCCATAGCACCCTTATGGCACATTCAGGAGAACTGGTACAAGCAACCAGCATATATTAATGGCTATCCTGTTTGCTTGCAAAAAAACAAACCCGAAACACCATAGCCTCAAACATGCTCATTTCTGTTGAATTTCATTCCTATTAGTAATGGACAAACGAATGACTGTTGGCAGTGAACCACCAAGCAAGATACTCCAAAACAACTGGTCTTGTCCTTGCAAACCCCAAGCTTAAAAATTAGGCCAACAAAGCCCATGTTTACGTTATGCTCTGCATTTTATGCGATGCGACCTGGATCCTAAAAAATGCCTTATTGTGAGCGTCACTCGTGTGCTGAATCCAAAGTCAGAATGTGATTAGTGCAGTTTTGAGGGCCTCAACCGAGTGCAGCGCAGTTGCAGTTGCACTCCATATATACAAAGTGAGTCGTTCACTCCCCAGTCATCTATAAAAGCTACAAAAAGGCACCGAGACATGATCACTGTGGATGAAAGTGAAGGCTTCACTTCGTTGCGGCAAAGCCCTGTTGGCACCTGACCAACAAGGATGCCGCAACCCTTCAAGGCTTGACGCAGAGCGGCGTGATAGCAATGCGCAGTCTGAACAGGTCGCACTGGGGTCCCACTAGGAAGGGCGAAGTACCTCCGGGAGCCTCGTTGAGCTCCCCGTATGGCACCAAATCGTCCAGGTTGAGCATGCGGTTCTCCTTGGTGAAGGTGAACTCCTTCTGTACCACCATGCGCACATGCTCCACGCCGTCTTGCTTACCGCTCACCAAGACACTCACCACTATGGTCGTGTCCTCGTTGAACCGGCTTGAAGTGAGAGACAGCCGCACAGTCTTTGTCCTTGACTCGGGCCCTTCGAGGGTTCCCCGCAGCGCGATAAGCAAGAACTTGTGGAACAAGACACCCTTGGGGTAGACGTCCACGGTCCATTCGAGCATTTTGTCCGACATGGCGCCCGAGAGGCTGGCTGGAGTCATGAAGATGAGCGTGTGTACCCCAAAGGTCTTCCGTCGCGTGAAATTGTCTATGCAGAGTGACGTCGACCAGGTCTCCGAAGTGTAGATTCGGGGCACAATGAGCTTTGCGTACCGGTGGCGGTAGCCATTGAGTCGTGCCCTGTTCTGGAAGTCCAGGGCGACGCCAATGCGGTCCAGAAAAAAGCCTTGAAAGCGGAGGGTGAGCGGGTGGGACATCAGCCCAGCCAGCTCAGCGATGGTCAGCATGGGGAAGCGGATGTGAGACATCACTTTGACAACGGTGTTGCCAAAGGCCTCTTCGTCACCCGACCGGGACGAGTGCGACCAGGACTCCTGCAGAAACAGCCACCTCGCGGCGAAGCTGCCGTGAGGAGCATCGGTCAGACGGGAAAAATGCCCCCTGAGAGTATGATTGTTGCCGATAACCCCATCCCAAACAAGACCTCAAGACCAGAGTGGTAACTAGTAGTGGGTATCATGCTCATCTTTCCTTTCACCCAGCCCAATACTTGATTGCACTTTGTCAAACCCTTCACAGAATAGCCCCCTCCCCACCCCTCCAGTTTTGTTTTAAGCAGACAAAAGCTGGCTCTTGACAGCATATAAGTGTCCTCAATTGTTTACCCCAAATAGAACTGCATTTGTATACATCTGTTTACACAGAAACATCACTGATTGCTTGCGAAATTCCCACCAACAGACGAACCCTCAAGTATATAGAATGCTATTTTCATATTGTTTTAGAACCTCTAGAACAGAAAAGACGATGTTTGTAGCTTAAAAAGCCAACTCCTGCAGTACTAAAAATGAGATGCGAATTCAGCTGAACATCCACCCTCCTTCCAGTAGTAATTATATCAGCTCTTTCGTCAGGTAACTGAATGACTTTTACATAGAACTAGGTCTTCACCCCAAGTTGAACACAAGGATAGCCTATAGATAGCTTGAAATTTTTTTTTAAAAATACACATAATTAACAAGATTTCTTTTAAAGGGGTAGGGAAACGAAATTCCAGCGCTCATTTTCTAGCCTGAATGTGTTGCATGTTGAACCCTAACCTCAAAAACACCAGTCTTCGGTTGAAAGGCACAAGAAAATAATTTTAAAGCTAAATAAACGATCTTTCAATGTGCACCTGGTGGATGCATCCGGAGCCTATTTGGGAGGTAGTCTAGCAACGTTGTGGAATCTGCTACGTAGTCGTGACGTACCAGATTCCTTCGGAGCAGCGCCGCCCTTTGGAATATCAACATTTTCCTTCTTAGCTTTCCTCCTCAACTCACAAGTCGCGCATTGTACCAAACGGTCCAAGAAGACAGAAAGGAAGGACTCCCCTCTTTCTCGGACCCTCGTTCCTGCAACCGGACACAGCCACTCTCCCCCTAGAACAGGGGTCTCAAACACGCGGCCCGCGCGGCATTTTTTTGTGGCCCGCGCAGCCAAGCATAAGTGAATTTTTTTTTAAAATTTAGTTTTGGTTTTTTTAATGATGTTTTCACCTTCGCTCCCCCCGAGTGTGTAAAAAGCTTGCTAGAATAAAAAATCCAAGCTGTTCTACTTTGACCATATACCAGGATACATGACGCAAACGTAGAGCGCAGTGTCATGCAATAGCGTCTGTGGAAGAGAGAGGGCCGCTTTTTGTTAAAAATAGGTAGTCGGACCGGACGCAGTAGCCGAGGCGTCGGCAAAGGGCTTCCAAGAGTCCTTGGCGCAGAGCGTCGAAGCGTAGCCTCGCACAATCCTGGTCCACACCTCCACACATGCGGATGGCGTATCTGGGGCAACTAATCTACCCCTCCATTCCACCCCACCTTCTTCCTATACTCCGTTCACTCCTAAGCTGACAGTGCGGTGGAAGCTGCACGCTCGCTGGACCACTCAACTGTCGGCCTTGAACCATGTGACCACTCCCCTCTCCCCGCACTCCTGCGCGTTGAGCGAAGTCAGGCAATAAGATTGGTCCTGCAAACACGTAGCCTCCAGCGCACTGTCAGCTTAGGGGTGAACGGAGTATAACCTCGTCAAAGCGTTGGGCTCTCCCATCCTCCCTTTTGTGTTCATTGTCACTTCCTTATCCTTTGCACCCAAGTTTATCTCAGTCGAAACTGGTGGATTTCATCATTGTATGCTTCCCTTCAAGTTCTTGGAAAAGCATTTTACCCTCAATGCGGTAACCCCCTCTCCAAGCCCACAGTGATTTTCAGTTGACGGTGGCGTTGTGCACCCGAGATTTGCTCTGATCAGCACAGGTTGTTGCATTCTCTTTCAACGATTCAGTCTTGCGACGTCAACTCTCAAACAGACATCTCGATGTCGTTCTCCAAGCCGTCTGCAAAACGCAAAGTTGAAGACGAGAAGCGGCTCCTTCAAGAGCGATGGGAACTATCCTATTTCTTCACGGAATCGCGAGACAAGGTGGTGTGTTTAATTTGTCATCAGACTGTAGCTGTGCCAAAGGATTATAATGTGCGATGTAACTTCATATCATGCATCAAGAGAAGTATGAGGCCCTCACCGGAAAGATTCGCGAGAACACGGTGTTCCAACTCAAGGCGTCGCTGGGAAAACAGCAAGACCTCTTCCAAAAGGCGGTCAAAACAAGCGACGAAACGGTGAGAGCTAGTTTTATTGTTTCCGAGCTTATCGCCAAATCGTCCAAGCCATTTACTGATGGCCTGTTCATAAAAAAGTGTCTGCTTGAGGTTGCTAACGCTGTCTGTCCCAGCATGAAAAAGACATTTGAAAAGATAAGCCTTTCCCCAAACACAGTGGCAGAAAGAATTAATGAGCTCAGTGAAAACGTCAAGAAAGAATTATTTACCCGATGCAACGGCTTCAACGCATTCTCAATCGCCGTCGACGAGAGCACTGATATTACTGACAACGCTCAGTGCACCATTTTTGTAAGGGGCGTCACAGAAGAACTCTTGTACCTAGTGCCAATGAAAGGAACAACCACAGGTGCTGATATTGTTTCTGCCCTCAAACGAGTGGTTGATCGTGCTGGGCTGCCATGGGAGAAGTTGGTGTGCCTGGCAACCGACGGCACACCGTCAATTGTGGGAAAGAAAAGCGGCCTTGTCGGACGATTGAGGACGAAACTCACTGGACTGGATATCAGCAAGCGGTTTGCAGCAGTCCACTGCATTTTACACCAAGAGGCACTCTGCAGCAAGTCATTGCAGATGAAAGGAGTCATGGACATTGTGTTTGGTGAAGTAAACTTCATTCGCTCCAGGGCGTTAAACCATCGACAGTTTGTATCTCTGTTGGAGATGGTTGGCAGCGAGCATAGCGAAATTTTGTACCACACAGAGGTACGGTGGCTGAGTCGTGGGAAAGTTCTAAAGAGGTTTTTTGATCTTCGACACGAGATTGATACTTTTTTGAAAAGCAAAAACAAGGCCGTCGCTGAACTGTCAGACACCAGCTGGCTTTGCTCCCTCGCATTCCTCACGGATATCACTGAGTACCTGAACCGTCTAAATGGGAAACTTCAGGGGAAGGACAAACTTATTACGACAATGTATGATGACATCCAGACATTTCAATCGAAGTTACAACTCTGGGAGCGCCAAATGAGGCTGCTCAAACTCGACCATTTCCCGACGCTCCAGTCACTGCACGCGAGCCAAGAATCGTGCGACAGCTTTTCGGACCTCCTGCGTGATCTCCAACAAGAATTTCAAGAACGGTTCCAGGACGTGAGCAGCCTGTCAAGAGAATTTAAACTTTTTTCTTTGCCCTTCTCAGTGCGAGTGGACGACGTTGCACCTGAACTACAGATGGAACTGCTTGAACTGCAAGCGAACACTGTACTCAAGAAGAAGTTTGGGGACGTCGGAATCCTGAAGTTTTACAAGTTTCTCGACGAGGCAAACTTTCCCTCGCTGCGCCAACAAGCAGTAAGGATAATCGCCATGTTCGGGAGCACGTACTTGTGCGAGCAACTGTTTTCCTTGCTAAAGGCAAACAAGTCGACACTTCGGTCAAGGTTGACCGACGAACATCTGCGATTGATCATGAGGATCGTCTCCGCACAAGGGTTAAAGGCAGACATTGATTTTCTCGTCGCCGCTAAGCGTTGTCAGGTGTCAAGCCAGCGTTCATAGAATTATAGCTCTCATATTTGTGGTTCACATGAATAAATATATCTTGGCTTTCACAAATTGTTTTGGACATTATCTTTGTAATACTGCGAATTGCAACATAATTTACGCAGGTAAACTTTTGCGGCAATGAGTTGTAGCATGGTTGGTGCAGATTTCGACTGTTGTCGAAAGCGGTGATAGTATCTGGCATGAACCCCGTGTTGGTCAAAATCAGAAAATGGACATCACACACTTCCGAATGGCGACAATTGCAATTGCAAATCCAACCCCCCCCCACCTCCCCCCCCGCTCCCGACGTGCCGGCCCTTGCGAACCTAGGATTTCTGGATGCGGCCCGGCTCCTAACGTGAGTTTGAGACCCCTGCCCTAGAAGATTAGCCCGTCGCTCAAAACTCGAACAAAAGTTGCTTTCCCCACCCCGTTCAGCCCTAAGGTGACAGTGCTGTGGAAGCTATGCGCTCCTTGGGCCAGCCCACGGTGTGGGCCAGCCACACGCTCGTCACCCCACGGGTACTTCGAATGGCTCGGTTGTAACGCGCTGACGCTATTGACACAACCACAACGCTGACAACGCCACCAAGGGCAAAGCTCATAACCACACCTGCCTTGCTACTCCACGAATGCGGGGAATCTTTTCTTTCTGTTTTTGTTTGCGCCGGATATCCCATGACGCATCGCGCTCTCCGTTCGCTTCTCTTCGAGCGCTTGCTCGAGCGCACCGTTTGGAACGAAAAATATAGCCAGTCGTTCAAAATACAAACGTGCGATTATCATTTACGGTTATTATCCGTCATGCTTGACTCATTTCCGAACAAAATTTAAATATTTCAATTTTTGTTTCCGTACCCCTTTAAGGAAAAAGTGAAATTGTAATGGCACTAAACTGAGCTTCTGTGCTATACAGAAGCTCAGTTTAGTGCCATTACAATTTCACTTTTTGTTGCCATAAGCAATGTAAATTGAATGCCAGTGTCGTCAATTATCATTGCCGCTATGAATTCTGGCACGTTTTAAGCTAGCAATGCAACTCGGCCATCAACTTCCAACAACAGTAGAATGTGTAGTTTCTTGCACATGAGATTTTGCCTCTGTAAAACTGGAATCCTGCTCACTAAAAGCTGGAATGCAGACGTGCATTACATTACATGTGGGGTCACCTAGTTTCTGTATGCAACTGTTTACTGTTTAGGCAAGGGGTCTCCAAACCCTGGCCCACAGGCCAAACCCAGCCAGCGGGGGTCTCCCGACTGGCCTGTAGCTAGCTGTGGTCCTTCCCATGAACCCCGACCCACTATCCGCTTCCAGCAAGCCTGCTGCTACGTAAAGGAACTGCGCCGCAAATGTAAACGAAGATACCAGAAAAAAGTTGAGAAAACTGCCCATCGTAAGGCGTATCCTCTCGTCATATTTATTGGACACTGTCATCACCAGCACCACCATTATTAGTCCCCTGTTTGATATCTGTGCAACTAGAAATATAAAATTCCTTTGCGTTCCTATGTATACATTGTGCTTAAGGTTCTGTGTCGTATCTATTGGATATTGTCAGCATCAGTTCTATCATAAAAGTTCCTCTGCACTTTAATTTATGCCTGCGGGTATTGCCCCCCCCCCCCCCCATTTTAACATAAATTATACATATTCATCAACCTTTTTCTTTTTAATTTTTACTCTAAATTTTAGTTTTATATTTATATGCTTATCTGGGATAATTCATGTAGTTTTTCTCAATTACATTTATTATTTATTTCCGGAACTCGAGACAGCGACAGATCCCGATCCGGCCACTTAGCCAAAAAGTTTGGATACCCCTGGTCTAGGTGACAACCTAAGACGGCAAATCTGAAGCCCTCTGAAACTGTGGAGCCCCAGTTATACTAAAAGACAATGGGAGGAAAGGATCTGTGATTGTTACACACATGTGCAATACAAAAATAATACCAGTACCCTAGAGAGACAAAAAAAATATTTTTTTTGTTTCATAGTTAACAAAGAGTAGAGTAGTTTTACCGCATTTACTTCATTTCCACTGAACTCACAAGATTTTATTCGGCAGAGATTTGACAGAATATTTTACTATACAACGAAAAATAAGCATCCCTCACTTGAAAAGTTGAAACTCGCTGGCCACAACCAGGTCGGATCGACGCAGAAAAGAGATGAGGACGTCAAGCTCAATGTTTCCGAAGTCTTCCATCTGGGCCACAAGCTCGAAATTCCATGCAATGAAATTGCTGAAGGACGTCTGCACTGATGCAGAGTCACAGTTGAGTGTGTAGCAAAACCAGGACACCTACGAAGGAGAGTAAGGAGGAGTTAAGTGAGCACATAAATGGAAACAAATGCATGGGGATTTGGTGCCCTGCTTTGTGGTTGCAAGTCTGCAGTCACCAATTCATTAGCAACAGATATCATGTGTGACTTGGTCCTTGAGATGGAAGGAGAGAGAGAGAGAGAGAAGTCATAACTATAGTCAGTGACAGGCTAAAGGCGCGTTCCCACCAGTGATGCAATCTAGTCACGCGATAACTTTCATCGCAAAAGCGACCATCGCAGGCAAAAAGTGACGCGATTTGAGCAGTTGCTACTCGACCCGACTTTTTTGCCATGCGATCTAGTCGCGGAGCGGCTGAGCCAATCAACGGCGTTCGAAGCGAGAGTTTCCGAGAAACGACTCGCCAACGAAGGCGTTGGACTCGCTCATCGCACACGCCAGTGTGACCATATAATTTTTTTGCGATGCCACTTTAGTGGAGCAATGCTGGAGAGGAGGTGACCTCCTCTCCAGCGATCGCTCTGCTAAAGTGGAAAGAGGTGCTTCCCCTGAACCCTTCACCTGTGATCAACTATAGTTTTACACATGACTTCACCTGGCTAAGTACAGTTGATGTTTACGTGCACCAGAAGTGAAGTGTTAAGCTCCTACATATTTTTCCAAATTGAGCAACGATCTCTCAGCATTGACTTTCATGGTAGCACTTGGCATATTTATGATTGATCTACAGCTCACATTTTAAGAACTGTGTTCCATATACATATAAGGGCTGTAAAAGAGCTCTGTTTGTAAACTTGACATTCTAGTGATAGCTAGACTTCTCTTGCCCTCATAACCAGGGGCTACACCAGAGCCGATCCCTCCACTGGCTTCTTCCCCATCACCTGCCTAAAAGTGGGTAACACTGTCTTAATTAGACTTTAGGTTATAGCTTCATACACAAGTATTGCAAGCCCTGGTAATTACTGAACTTAAAGGGGCCATGAAATGAATTCAGATCGTGTTTCTACTAATCGCATATTGTTTAGTGTGCCAAAAGAAAAAGGGTAGAAAGTCAAAAGCATGCTTTTCGGTACGAAAATTTGAAAATATAGCACACTATTATGTACCTCGTCCAAAAGCTGTACGCCTTTTCACTGTGATACATTTGCGGTACCCAAAGCACATCATCTGGCCCCAGTTCATGCATTTAACACAAGCACTGTGTTGCATCACTGTATTATCTCATTATACTTTGTTCAGCCCTAAGCTGACAGTGCGGCGGGAGCAATGCGCTTGCCGGGCCAATCAGCTGCCTCCCTTTCATCACCTGACTCTATTTTCTGGGCGTGGGTATGCGCGAGGGAGCGTGATCATGTGGCAAAAGATAGAAGTGTGACTGGCCCAATGAGCACGTAGCTTCCACAGCACTGTCACTTAGGGGTGAACGGAGAATAGTTGCACGTAATACTGCAGAAGCCACTGGCAGGAAAGGGGGGAAAGCAACTTGTGTCTGAATTGTGAGCAACAGGTTGATCTTCAAGAGGGAGAATGGCGACGTGCGGGTACACAAAGGAAGCTTCGAGCAGAGGGAAGTTCCTACTTTCCCTCCTCCTAAACTGCTAGCGGTATACTTTTGCCCCTGTGCCTTTGGTAATGCTGCACAATTTGTGAGCTGAGGAGGAGAGCTAAAAAGGGAGAAGTTGGAAAATCATTTCATGGCCACTTTCAAATGGGCTGAGTCACAATAGGAACTGTAAACCATAAAACAAAACTACCTCAACGGTACTCATAAGAGCAAGCAACGTCTCATTCTCAAGACATCCGTAGCTCGAAGAGGCTCTAGGAACAAAACATGACTGACCAGCTGGTTGTGGTGGGCAGCAGTCACAATGTGTTGTGCCATGTAGCTGATGCAGAGGTGCATTAGGTCCTTGACATTGTACTTGTCTGCCAGAGCTACCAGAGGCAGCACACGTGCATGGTCAACACGCGTCCGTCCGGTGTACAAGTAACCCAGGAAGTCACCGAACACTGCTTCACAAGGAGGCTCTTCCTTGAGCTCGATGTGCGACATCTGGCTTGAACGCCACTTGGGATCCATCAGCATCACCTAGAAATAAAATAATTGCTTGGATGCCAATCCTATTTCGTCAGTGAAACCTCGGAACCAAGCAGTGGCCTGTTTTATGAGCAAACTGTACTTGAAAAAAACAAAACATGTGTGGGTCTTTCAAAGACGTTTAGGTATATGTCTCTGCCATAGGCGTGCACAGCAGGGGGGCCAAGCATACTATGCCCCCCCCCCTGATGACTCTGGAGGGGCACAAATTCAGTAAGGTTATATTTTTGTTGTGTTGCACAACAAAAATGGGACCTCACTGAATTTGCGCCCCTCCAGAGTCATCAGGGGGGGGCATAGTATGCTTGGCCCCTCTCGATGTGCACGCCTGTGGTCTCTACGCAGAATCGTTTTTTTCTTGTAGCCTAACGTATTATCCCGAAAGATAGTCCACCCCCCAAGGAGGCCATATGAGGTGGAAATGAGGGGTGGGCTAACTTTTGTTGCAACTTCATTCCTCATTCACTCCTGCCTACGTCAACCTCCCTTGAGTGAACAACGAGAATTATATTATTGAAAGAAAAATAAATAACTTTGTTTATTAAATTGCCTTGAAAGTTACCAAAGGAACACACTACTGTCGTCCAAACTCATTGCCTACGTTATGGCATAAATCGGCTGAAACCCAGATAACTAGATAATGTGATTTCTAAAAGGCGAAATATTGTTTGGAATTTTTTCAAGAGGAAACTGGAAAGAAAGCAATGGTCGGCTGTCTTTCGGGATATCTCTCGGTATATTATGGTAGTAATATTACAACCAACACACTCCAGGTGTTCTTATCTAAAAAGAAGGAGAATGTGTTTTTGTTAGCTTTTAATTCCTAAAGGAATGAACATGATGTAAAACAAACATTGGAAAGTAACCCCAGCGACTTTCGACAATGTGGCCCATTTCCTAGACAAACAGTAAGACCCCAAGCTTTTTTTTCCTCGTCAATGCCTGCAATACGAGTGTGACACTCCGAAAATCAAGTTCTTCACATTACAGAGGCACATAGACTGCACGACAGACTTCCAACACAAGCATGTAGGAAACTGTGCAGTCGGATGTAACACATCTTCCTGTAGCTGTGCGCAAATGTACGCTTTGTACGCGGTTTACCTAGAACATTCTGCATTACTTTGAGGACAAAAAGGATGAAATGACGGCGAGAATAAGTCTCGCTTGAACAAACATATATTACCTGAAAAACGTCGCTGGAAGCGCAGAGGATCAATCGGTGGGCCGCATACTGTTTTCCTCCGACCTCAAGGGTAATGTCACTCAGGAGATGTTCGGCGTACAACCCGGCTATCTTCTCCAGCACAGTTGCAGAGTTGTCAAATTGTTGTTCGTGATCCTTAGTGCAAGCACTCCGATTTTCAGTGGTCATTTTGCACGACTGCTTTCGTCTACCTACCTACACACAGCTCAGAACTAGAAATGGGATTGAGAAGGGCGCGCAAACAAAAACTTATTATCAGCGAAACACGGCGCGAGAAGTAGCAGAACGCGTTGGTTCCACATGCTTCTACACGCGAGAGCAGAGATTCGATTTAAGAACAGGGGCACGAAACGCAGACTTATACGGAAGGAGTTAATGTCGAGTTTGCGTGAGGACCGTCAAGGGTGCGACTTCGTTCGCAGTGTCTGATTGCCCTGGCCAATGTCTACGGGATCGATGCTAACGTCACCAACGCGCAAATGCGTTTGCCGCGGGAATTCGCAACAACAGTACAATCGACTATCCACATTTATAACATTAGTAATAATACTGCGCTGCGCCAGCAGTGATTCTGCCCAATAACTTCAGCAGCAACTGTGGTGGTCGTCAATCTGGTATTGGCTTGGTTCGGCTCTTTGACTATGACCTCAAATACAAAGTGGATTGGTAAATACTAAGTAGAGAACAGCGGTGTTTTAATTGTAAGTTAAAATAAAGGTATAATTTGCTTCTTACAAAATAGACGTAAGGTGCGTTTCGAGAGCGCACCTCACGCACTTTATTGCATATGTTCAAACCAGTCTTAGGATATTTTATCAAAATCTTCCAATTGACGCTGCTAATTAGTGATAAGTGCCATTTATCCTCGCCAATAAAAACACCTAATATTAATTGGTCAGCTTTCTAGATTATTTTTATTTTTTCATAAGCTGATCCTTAGCCAATCCAAAGTGCCACAGGCCACGGACTCCGGAGTGGACCGAGTGGGAGAGCCGGAGGAAAGCCAGAACCGAGAACCCAGAGAGGCCGGAGGCTCTTTTCTCTTATCTAGTGCATAAATTTCCGCAACAATTTCCACGACCTGTGTTATTGCTTCAACTCTGCTCAGGTATTTAAATTTTTTTATTATTATTATTCCAAGTAAAAATATTACGGTGCAGACTTTGCCTTCTAATAATCGTGCAGTGCAGTGTCCGTGTAATACAAGCAATACAAGCTCGCGTCATGGGCGTGTGGGCGTGAACAGCCCAGCCGCCCTAAGTTTTTCTTTAATTTCCTGAGTCCTCGGAATTTAGGTAATGAACAAATAACCCGAATGGCTTCAGAACCCAATGGCTCCTTCAGCCTAATGATCTCGTTCAGCATAAAGAAGTCGTTATCAGACTTGTGTAAGTGAGGCAGAGTGTGGAAGTTCCAAGCGATAGGACAGTAATGCTACAGTTGAAAACGAGCGTGTTGGTTAATAGATACAAAACTTGAAAGTATAAAACAGTGCAGTAATGCTGTACTAGCGGTTTTACATGCTCGCCTATACATCTCATTTCAGGTCTGTCGGAAGAAGAAAATGAGGCTCATTCATTTTGCGAAGTTGAAGCAGTCTAGAGTGCAGAGCCTTGCTGTTTTTAACAGACTAGTTGCCAGGCCAAGTTCCCTCAGCAGCTGCTCGTTGTCAAGTAAAACAACTTCAGACTTTCCACCTCCATTTGTTCCAGTGTTCGGAAAGATACAAGACCACCTGGACAATGTTGCTGTGGTGGATGTCTTGGGAACGCACTCTTATTCTCAATTACTAAAGTTTAGCCAAACGATTCAGAGCAAACTCAATCAGATAATAAACCCCCGAGAACAGACGCGAATATCGTTTCTGTGTCCCAGTGATGTTCGCTATGTTGCTGCTCAATGGGCCTGCTGGCTCGGTGGCAACGTGGCAGTTCCCTTGTACCACCAGCATCCCGACTCATTGTTGGAGTACTACATCAAAGACTCACAGACCACAGTCTTGTTGACTACCAAGGAATACAGGGACAGGATCGAGCAGCTTGGGAAAAACCTTAGCTTGCCCACTGTGGTGGTTGATGGTCCAATGGATAAAGAAGTGGATGCATTTGAAGAAAAGGACTGGGTAAGTGCCCTTTCCAAAGAATAGCATTTTATTATGGACTTCCCCTAAGCACACCTGTGGGAAGCTGCTCCTTTATGTGCCACGATTTGTATTTTCCTTCTCTCGACTTCTCTCTTAATCCTGGGCAAGTGCTGAAGTTGCTTTTAAATTTCTAACACACGGTGTTTTATAAAATATGGGACCGAACATTCGCTATAGTCGGCTACTCTTACAGTTCAGGAGAAGCTCTTCTACCCTCTTCCCACTTTAGCAAAGGGAATGCCGGAGAGGAGGTTGCATTCTCTCCAACGTTCACTCTGCTGAAGTGGAAAGGGGCGACCAGAGCTTCCCCAAAAATATTAAGTCACCATTGACTGTAGGTCAGAACCTTTTCCTTAATTTTGTAGGCCAATTAGCTTTGACCAATCTGGATTAGTTTGTGTAGTAATTCCCAAGATAAAAAAAATAATAATGAAAATGTAACTGTACATTACAATTTCCACTCCTAGCAGTTGCAGTGCAGATGGGTGTCACACTGGCATGCTTGTGTAAATTAATGTAATTTCTACTGCATGTTGCACATTAAGACCTCAGGTTGGTCTAAGCCAGGGGTCTCCAAACCCCGCCCGGCCCGCGGGCCAGACCCGGCTTACGGAAGTCTTCCAACCAGCCCGCTTCCAGCAGACCCGCTGCAACCGACAAAAAAATGTGTGCCTAAAAAAAATGGCACGCATAATGTTCAGTCATGGCAAGGAAACCCTGTTACAAAGCAGCTTCTCTTATTCTTTCTGATATCTTCTTTTGCGCTCCAAATGGACAAAAGAAGATATCAGAAAGAATAAGAGAAGCTGTTTTGTAACAGGGTTTCCTTGCCATGACTGAACATTGTCATCACCATTAGTCCCCGGCTTCATGTTTGTGCAACTACGGTATATTAAAATTCTCTTCTGTTCTCACATACATTGGGCTTGGTGTCCTCTGTCACAAATATTTCATATTGCCAGCTTTAGGTTTATCATTTTATGAGTGTTTACAGTAGTTGTGTAATGTTATAGTTAGCTTAATATGAAATTTCAGATTGAAGTAGTATATGTACTCGTCCACCTTAGAGTTATTAAATTCTTGCTTTAATATTCATTTTTGTATTTAAACGCTTATCCAGGTTTATTTATTTAGTTCTTTCTCTTTTATAATTAGTGTCCTTTCTCGACCCTCGAGGCTATGACAGGTACCTAATCTGGCCCCTTAGCCAAAAAGTTTGGATATCTCGGGCCTAAGCTAATTGTGCAGCAGCAGGCACACAAGTTACCATATTTCAGGGTCGACTAACTCCCAAGGTAAAACTGGCAGTTGAGCCAGCCTAGAGATTTCATGTGTCTGTAGTATATTATTAATTAAACAAAAAAGGCAGTGACCTAAGAACTGAAGGGTAACAGCAAGGTGGGTGTATCATTTAAACTCCTGAAAATAAGATCTGACAAGATTTGAAATAATCCACCAGAAATGCACTTCTACTGAAAGTGTTATGCATATTTAATTTATATATTTTATTTATACATACCCTCAAGGGCATAAGCAAGAATACCAATGAGTTCCAAGACTTCAGAAGAGGAAACAGGTGTTAAGAAGTTGCAAAGTGAGGCATTCAGCGTCAGAATTTGTACTGCGCAAAGAGTATTCTGAAATTGTTTCGTAGCCTCAGAAAAAAAGGCTCTTGCTTGAAATTGCTTTCTTGAGAGATCTTGCTCCTAGTAGGATCTGACCTTTGAAGTATGCCATAACTTGCCTTCATTACTGGGCATCTCTTATTGCATTGTAGTCAATCAGGCATATGGCTACAAATTTAATTGAAATACAGTAGCATGACCCTCATATCCTGTAACCTTGCAGTTTGTAGGGAGCATCGCATTTAACTGTATCAAAATATATCTGGGAATCCTGAAAACGTCTTACAGCTGAAAGATGATTCTCAAAGTTACAAATTCCTTTATCATTTATATTTGACAGTAGCAGCTCCATGGACCTCTTTTCTATGAAAATCGTATTGCTGCTGTACAGTAACAAATTCCTTTCTTTGAGGAGTTACTTAAACGTTCACAACCTGTTTAAAATTCTGGAAAATAAAGTGCATACTGAAATTAACCTGTACTTGTTTAGGCGATCGAGAGGCCACTTTTATGTATGACCGACTCTGGCGAGTTCCATACTCTCGGACCTCATTTGATGCTGCGAGTGATTGAAGGCTGGGTGTTGAAAGGCCTTACACTCGAATGCTCTTGCTGTTCAGGACATGCTGAAGGGCGAGGACGCCCTTATGATGTACACGAGTGGAACAACGGGGCCTCCCAAGGGTGTGGTGCTCTCCTTCGGCAACATTCACTTTCAAGTGTCCCAGATTCGGAAAGCCTGGGAGTGGGTGCCCGGAGATGTTCTGCTGCATGCTCTGCCTTTACACCACACGCACGGCATCATTAGCGGCTTACTGTCGCCTCTTTACTCGAGGGCTACGTGCTTGATGCTGCCCAAGTTTGATGCTGCGGAGGTACTGGCAACCAGCTACTTGCAACATGTCCTGTAGGGCACCTACTGGTTACCTTGATTTTTTCTTTCTTGGTGATCAGTCTTGGCTTCAAATTTGGAAAATTGGAGCTGGGGACTTCTCTGATTGGAGGATTCTTGAAATTCGCCAAGCTGTCAAGCACTTTTCCCCAATTAGATAAGAGTAGCATATAAATCCAGATATGCTTAGACATGCGTTATAAAAGTAAACATTTGGTGGAAATTGGTTTACTTTACTTCCACGATCAATGTTAGTGGTTGCATCAACTGTCCATCAGACGCACTTTTTTGCCATCTGCAAAGCTGGAGTACACTTGCTTTTCTTTTTTTTCCATATCTAACAGATTTTTTTACTAAACAAGTGCCAGAAAGGAATAAGGCTAGGTGACTGACTTTGTGACATACCTAGCAGATGCTCAGCCATAAATTGAAAGGAAGTGGAGTTGTCAAAACCTTCCACAGAAATTTCTTATATGTGTCTGTATTGTGAAGCCCCAAGTAATGCAGCAGTTTTGTGAGATATTATATTGTTTGTTGTTTGTGCTATGATGCATTACACTTGTGTAGCTTGCAGTTTCTTCTATTACACTATGACTTATCTGTCCAAAGAGAACACACAAACTTCCTCAATTTCCTTTTCTTCGTTGACACCAGGTATGGAAACACCTTCTGCATCTTGACAAAAGCAAGCCACCAGTGTCCATATTCATGGCTGTGCCAACAATGTATGTGAAATTGATAGAACACTATGAACAGCACTTGAGAAGGAACAAGGAGACAGTGCCTGAAGTAGTCAAGAAGGTATTTGCGGAAAATATTCGGTAAGACGTACCAAAAGAGCATTTTAGCTTTAGCTTGCTTTTACCCCGGGACGGTTCATGCTTGAAAACTTTTTGCCAGATTTGTGATCAGTGGATCAGCCTCCCTGCCTCAACCAATATTTGAGAAATTTGAAGAAATCACTGGCATGACCATCTTGGAGAGGTATGGCATGACAGAGGTCGGTGTACCACTCTCGAACCCACTGCATGGAAAAAGGTATCCAGGTACTCCACCCTTTCTCAAGCCAAACTTGCACTCTGCACTCTTTGTCCACATTTTCACTTCCATGTAGGGCTGATATACTATACCTTCAATTAATGCTTTCCCCCTGCTTTCATTGCTTTTTTGGTAGATTTCTCTGTAGAGGGGGTGGCATCAGTGTCGCAAGATTCGTCTTAGGCATGCCTTCGTTTCTTTGTGCAGGCTGCGTAGGCTATCCAACGGCAGGGGTTGAAGTCTGCATTGCTGATCTGGATCCCAGCTCCGACGTGGGCTACAACCCCTTGGTTATCGGCACTGCTGAAGGCAGTCAATTTCTTCAAGGACCAGATCGCACTAGTGGAGAGCTGCTCATCAGGGGAAGAAATGTGTTCAAGTATTACTGGAATAAGCCACAAGTTACAAAGGACTCTTTCACCAAAGATGGGTGGTTCAAAACTGGTACGCTGAAATTTGTGATAAGCGATAAACATACTAGGGAGCATCACAAAATTACATGATAGGTAGTTTGTAGGTACGCTGTTTCATGATTACTACTGGGATAATCTGCTGTTAGCCTCCTTGCAGTACCGGTAGTTCTGGCTTGTGCTACTCACTGCAGATGTTCTTGACAAAAATGGTTGCTTCCTAGTTTGTTCCCGACTGCCTGAGCTGTATACGCTGCCAGCGGAGCACAGATGGTGACATTATCACATTTATGTTGATCATGACTTTATCAACGAGTAACTCGGGAGCCTGAATGCTCCCAAATTAACATTCAAAATGATGACAGTCTTCTGGGGTCTACAATACTGGACAGTTAGTCCCACTGCTCTTTGGCGTGGACACAGTGGCGCTCACTGAAACATTAATGTAGTGGTCTTTTGATTACAGGCTGAACATTCTGCAATGCAATTTTTGGTTTCATTTTAAGCAGTGACAGAGTGCAGGCGAGCTGGTAATCAATCGACATCTTCAGTGATAAATAGTATCCGAAAGACTGAGAGAGTTGAATAAAATTGTCAAAAAATAAGGTTGAACTGCTGCAAAATTATCGCATTGAATCGCTGCAAAATTAACAAAAATCTGATTTCTAAATATTTTTCCAAACGGGTTTGCACTCAGCCTGCATATGAAGTAAGAAGTTGCCATGTAAAACTTTGGTATGGTCCCAAGGTTTACATGGTAGTTCTGTCAAGACTTTTTTGCACCTCCTTGCATGAACACTCCCACATAAACCTTGAATGACTTTTAGAATTTAATACTGAAAAATCATTGTGATGGCCCCCTGCCTCCGATTCCTATCTACAATATTAATGGAACACTTATCGCAATGAGGAGAAGCCAGACACGAGCCGTGTTCCAACTTATCCTGTGACAACTGCTTGCACCTGGCATTCAGCTGTACTGTAGCCCACCAGTTCTTTAGCATCTCCCTGCCAGTCTGCTTTGCAGAATACGCAACTGCATCCACCACATACTGGGACAGCAGTCGTGTGTCATTTGCACGCAACTTGCACACACCATCCGCACCACCTTTTTCAGGTGATAGTGCCTCCTGCATCGAAGGAGTGTACAAGATCCTGGGCCGAACGTCTGCAGACATCATCAAGACGGGCGGCTACAAAGTGAGCGCTCTCGAGGTGGAGAGGCACCTCCTGGCCCACCCAGACATCCTCGAGTGCACCGTGGTGGGTGCCCCAGACGACACCTGGGGGGAGCGGGTGGCTGCTGTGGTGGTACTCAAAGAGCCCTCCACTACACTAGAGTTAGCCCCACTGCGTGCCTGGTGCAAGGAACGCATGGCACCCTACTGCGTACCCAGCTTGCTGCTCTGCGTGCCAGCCCTCGAACGCAACTTTCTCGGCAAGGTGAACAAAAAGGAGCTAGTCAAGAAGACCTGGCCTGCACCACAAAACTAGGGCTTTAGTACTGGGACGGCCCACTTCTGTTAGATGGCACATCGGTAAACCGCTGGCGTACAAATAACATCTTTATTTGGGACGATAGAAACTAGTGCGAGCATGTCGAGAGTTGTACGTGGGCGATTGGTATTGGGCGGCGTGTGCAAACTACAGGCGGTGTTTCTCTAGCTATCATTTGTGACGTCGCGGGTATGACAAACTGGGACAGACCGCGTAGCTCTTGGATCCTTTGGCTTGTCAACTCGCTTCATGCGCTGTTTGGGTAACGCGCAGCAAAGCCTGTTTCATGCATTGTGTTTATTTGGTAAAGTGATACTTGTACAGTACAATCCACTTATAACGATAATGAGAAAACCCGGAAATTCAATCGTTATAACCAATTATTGTTGTATCTGGGCTAGACTGAGCGTTTCTAGTCTAAAAGCGATAGAAACGGATCGTTATAAGCATGATATCATTATGAGCGGATTACACTCTAGTAGGATATTTTGCCAAAACTTGAAACCACGGCACACATAGTCGCGCTAACATACACCTTTGGCGCTGAGGTGTCGAAGTGCTTGGATGGTGGTGTGCTGTTCTCTACCCCATGCTGTACAAAAAGCTGGATGATGAAAATAGAATATTCAGCGCATTACCCCACTACAGCATCTACCACGGCAAATAGGGAGTATTTTCTATAACGATTGAGACAAAATAAAACTGAGAAAGGAATGCCTCATCAAATTGAAAATAACAAAGCGAAATTTGAGAACCTCTCGTGTGTTCAGTAAGCACTTAAGTGAAAGCGACTCCATGTACTATCCTGTTGGTTCTCAAGGAGGGCGCTCGGGAGGTGGCGCCACCAAAACATCTTGTCGCCAATAAGGTTATGGTGTCAGAGTATACTATTTTTGTAACCAAGGGTATAGTATTAAATGAGAAAGCATGTCCTTTTTTTTTATTGCAATGGAGATGCAAAACTTGTTTGTATTGCTTTTTTTTTTTTTTTTTTTTTTTTTTTTTTTTTTTTTTGTGTGAATGATTTTGGTCATTTCTTTGTGTTACTTTGCCAAACGTATTTCGATTATAATTGACTTTAATGCATTCCTAGGAGATTGTTTGCGAAAATAGTGATTACATTGATTTATTTACTGTAGTAGCGACGGTATTTTTGATCTACAAATTTCTTCTCAAAAAACAACAAAGGTTCTCATGTTCATTACATTTCCATGCAGAACTGTGCTGCCCACCTAAATAAATAAATTTTAGGGCGAGAAAACTATTTTTCTCGCCCTAAAGCAAAACTGCTGGGCCGATTTGAATAAAGTTTATTCTCTCTTTCAACAAGTGTGGTCACTGTTTCAAAACTAAATCTTGCCTCCAATTTATTAGCTTTTTCCAAGAGTGCCAGAACTGACCAGAGGCATGCTGCTGCTTTGAACGTGCCACCCGAGCTCAAATGCTCAAGCCGAAGTGGGATAAGTTGGCTTGTAGCCTGGATTTTTTTTAATCTAGTCTGGACATTTTAGAACATACTAATACTAGCCTTCTTTTGGCTGATGAAACAATGTGAGGATGGATGGTAATCAGCCGTGCCAGTGGCATTCAGTTCAGTGAATGTTTTGTCCAATTGTTTCATCAACAGCTCAGATTAGCTTTTTTCTGCAATAACCTGCACGAGACTGTTGCTGCAACACTCTGTACAAGTCGGACAGGTGGATTAACATTTTTTTTAATCAACAGCCGCAGACTGTTGCTGCACAGCGGCGTGAATGGAGGCGGAGGGATGGGTTAATGCGCACCCCAGTTATACATGCGTGAGTAAATGTCTCTGCAGCGTGCAATTTGCGTAACGAGTGTCGAAACGATTGTGTCCACGAAACGAGTTTCAACGAAATGATGGGGACCCGTTAACACGCACCCCAGTGATACAAGCAAGTCAAAATGTTCCTACAGCGTGCGATTCACATGACGAAACGTAATTCCATGAAACGAGTTCGACGAAACTATGGAGACCCGTACGGAAAAAACCTTTCAACGTCCGAAATCAGCTAGATTCAATGCCTCAAGACAATCGAAAGTGCCCGATTCATGCCGCCACCACCCCAAAGGTACAAGTCCCTCATCTCTGCATGGCAACGTAAAAACATCTGGAGTCGCGCATTTCTTTTTCCCTTTTTCTTTTGGAACACGTGAAACTGCATCCCTTGGCTCATGCTTGGAGAGTTTGCATATGGGGCCGCCACTGACGATTGCAGTCAGGCCGGGCTCGCAGCGTGAAACTCACCCATACGCAGTTGGGAGCCCGACGTAACGAAAGGCAAAGGGCATCACCACCACGTACGAGTCAAAAGCCGATGCAAAGGCATGCGCGAACATAAACAACGGTACACAAAAGTGCTGTTGCTCGCCGCTATAAAATGCGTCCTGCAAGCATTGGTAATCCGCAGCCTCATCCCTTTCCTGCCGCTCTTTCCCTAACCTGATGGCTACTCTGTCTCGCATGACATGCCGACGAACTGATCGTCGGGAGCACAGTGCAGTTTACCACTGCTCTCATTGCGAAGGGCCGTCGAGTCAACCACCAGCATGGAGGTTACCGGTGTTAGACAACGTCATGTGACGCAAGTTTTACTTTGCATTACCAAGAGGCTGTGGCTTGACCCAAGTTGGCCACATACAGCACTAATTCAAGAACCAGTTTTTGCCTTCCCTTTTGATTGGGCTCATGGGAACTAGTGTTAACCACACAGTAGAGGCTACAGGCATTAGCTCGGGGCAGTGTGTAACAGGTATTCGTGTAATAAAGAAAATAAAAATAAACTTGGAACTTTCTATGTTAACCATCCAACTTGAGAAGAGACAACCCTATTTGCAAGCATTTAGAGCTAGAGCAATCTGCTAGTCAAATGGACCATACTTTGGTTTAACTTCACCCGACATGTAGCCAAGTTCCTAAAATGATGTAGACACAGCAATGAGAATTAGCTGCTGCAAATCAGTTCCATTGCATCAGCTGTCCCCGCAAGAATCTGCAACATACACCACTGCCTTCATTGTGTGGCGTCCCGTTTCGTTTTATTTTTTAAAGCATCACTGATAAAATCTCTCGGCAAAATGTAGTTACAGTGCATAGTCGTAGATGCTTTTGTAGAGTCTTAAGTAACACAATTGGTCGGACTTTTTCTTTCACACACAATGATATCTTGGTTCGAGACACAAGTCCCCACAATTCTTGTGACTAGGATGACCTTTGTGGAGACATGAAAAGCAAAAGGATGCAATTTTAATATGCACGCTAGAATGAGGTGTACCAATATTCCTCGCAGAGAGGACTGTGCCACTATAGTCACGCTGGTCGCCAAATAAACCCAATACAGTGTCGTAAAATAGGCTTCGTACCGCCCCTTTGCGGAGGAGAAACTCCCGAGGAAGCGCAGGGTGAATAAGCAGACCGCCAGTGGACACCCACAGTCCAAAAGCACAAACTCAAGTCCAGGAAAAAAAATAGTGTGCCTCCTCTTTTGGGGCACACAGCACATCACGTGGGCAGGCAGGCAGGCAAAATCCTAATGGCACAATACCAAAAAAAACAACCTGGACTAGCCTCATCTCGATAACCCCCCCCCCCCCCCCCCCCCCCCCTCCCCCTGTCTACCTGCGCCAAACTCTCGGAACGGTGAAGTGCAAAAAAAAAAAACCTGGAAAGCCTGTTACTCGTTAAGGTCGACAATTTGCAGCTATTACAAAGACCAAAACTTCAATAATGCCTAGGCAAATATAACCTCCGTCATAAAAAAAAAAAACTTTTTTATACTATACATGGTCAATCAAAAAAAAAATTTTTTTTTTTTTAAGCACAAGCTTATTTTGTATTTTAAGCAAAATTTTCTTTAAAAAAAAATAACTCGTTAACATTTCTAGCCATTGCTGGGATCACATGGTATTAGAAATAGCAAAACAGCTTTCCTGGCATGCAATTTTTTTTTTTTTTTTGTCAAGGAAGGGGAAGAGGTGAAATAAAAAAAATCAAATGTAAAGCAAGTACATGGTGAGAAAAAGACTGCTGGGGATTGCAATTAACACTGAAAAAAAAAAAAAAAAGACATTTGCACACTTACACAAGTATTTCTTCTTGTGATCTCCCCAGACAGTTTTGAGGTCTACAGCATAGACTGCAAGCTTTTTCAACACAATTATTAAAACTTGGAATGGGGAAAAAAAACAAAAAAAAAAACACTGAAGACAAAATCTTGTGTAAATAAAGAACAATAGATGTCTCTCGGATCTCAAAAGTTTTCTACTTCCCAAAGCGTAGCCTGAAACAAGAAAAGTAAGCTAAAAAAAGAAAATGCAGCCAGTTAAAAAAAAAAAAATTTCAAAACCTAGCACATACATACATCAGTCAGCACACAATAATTATTTACAAATTACAAAAAAAAAATCCCTCACACAATTTTAAAAAAGAATTGCATTTACAGCAATATATCTATGTATATGCCATAAGCAGTGCTATGTACAAACAGCACACATTCGCATTCATGAACAATTGCAATAAATATGGACATAGACAACTTTCATAGACAAACCTTCTACGAATAAAAAAAATGTCAGCGCAGATGCTCACATGGCCAAAGTAAGAATGGCAGATTGCGTAGCAGTTGCTTCCACTGCATAAATGCATAGTAATTTTTTTGTGCTCCTTCCACATACCAGCACTTTGAAACATTTTTGAATATTTTTTTTTTTACATTTTTCGACACATATGCATACAAACTCATTCATTCACTGGAAAAAAACAACAACAAATAAATAACTGCGTACAACACAATCGATGACACAGGTACACGCGACAAAAAACTCAATGGAAATATCCAATGGAACTGAACGCTGCCCAGTTGCAAAGCAGGTGTGGCACAACCAAACGAGGCTCCTGCACAGTCCGCAGTCAAGTGCACCGAGGTGCAGACACCAGTGGCCTCCCTCGCCGGTCCTCCTCGAGGAGTCCACCCTCGTGGGCCACAGCAGGGCAGTGACCGAGTTTTAAGAAAAACCAAAAACCGGACAAACGTTGCCACAAGGCTGGCGGGGCCAATGTCTGGCTGCAGCTCGACGCAGCCCGATGAGAGTCTGCAGCTGGGGCCAGCCCCAGAGTGCACAGCCCAATGAGCAACCCCACTACCTAAATGAGCCCACGGTGTAGACGTCCCTGTGCACCAGCCCCTGCGCCACCAGGAGCGTTTCGTGTGGCGGTCGCGCAGAGTTGCGCCGCCGCCGGCTGTAGTTGCGACAGCCGTGGTCGCCGTTTCCTTGGGCCATTGTTCCGTCTGTGGAACCGGCCGAAAACTTGCGCTGCTTGGGGAAGAACGAGCGGTTGGCCGGGGCGGCTGCACTGCCCGCGACACTCGAACTCCGGCCTTCCTCCGAGCCCTCCAGACCCACCGGACTGCTGCCCGCCGCCCTCTCGGAGCCGGGCTCGCACGCAGGGTCAGAGTCCTGAACCCAGACACCAGGCGCAGCGTTGGTGCGTGTGCAGTGAACAAGGCACGCTGTGCCACTCACAGTGTCGCTGCCCACACTCGAGCACGAGCTGTGCTGGGGGCTGCTGCTGAACGAGTGGGCCGCCGACGAGACGTTGGACGAGGCCGGGCTGCTGTCGTTTTCGTTGGTACTTCCCGGCGTCCTGCAACCGAATCACTCTTTAAAAAGCTTTCTCACAGAACAGAGCTGGCAAAGCGCGTGAACTGTTCCCTTCTGCACAGCAAATAGATCGTGGCAAGCATAGCAGCCCTAGGATTCTAAAGCAGAAAGAATCTCCAGTAATGAAACTTTGGAAGAATTTCATGGTTTGTGAAATAATACGCCATCGTAGAGGCAACTGGTAGAAATGGGTATTGCGCTTTGAATGTTTAACCTCCGTTCTGAATACAATGCGAACTGCTTGCGAGCTCAAAATTAAAGAAAGTTGAACCACAACGGCTTAAAGTGTCTCCTGAACTCCACAACAGTTCTTTTCTTTAGCCTTTGCTTGCGAGGTCTGCAGAGAGATGATGTCACAAACGGATATGACGTCACGGGCTATACATTGCCCATATTTATTTCGACCATTTCACCAAAGAACTTAACATTTCTTCCTAAAAATAGTTGATGCAAGTCGTTTTCTCCATTAAAAAAAGTTGTTCTCGGGAGGCTTAGGGTGGCAGCTGCTCCCCCCCCCCCCCCCCTTAGATCTGCCCGTGTCGGAGCCCAATGTAATCACTATCGCACATTGCAAAATCGCCAGACCCAACACCAGGAGCCAATTTTTTTTTATATGTACTGTAAACGACTTATTTTTCGCGGGCTCAATATTTCGCCATTTAGGTCAAAGCTAAAGTTTTGGATTAATTTGCGGGTTCTAATTTTTGCGACCACGGTGGGACCTCAATATAGATTTCAATGTGTTTACATTTCACCGGAATTGTTTGCAGGACCTATTTTTTGCGAACTGTAGGTGATTCGCAAAAATTGGGACCTCGGGAAAATTAAGTTGTCTACAGTATTTTGTTTATGGAGTTATTAAGTAGATAATCATCAAAATGTTTGTGAAGGAAAAGTTATGTTTCACGTTTTACCAGTCTACCATATAGTGAAATGTTGCCAAAAAATGTATCCTAAAAGAAAAATGAGAATTTACAATTCCCTGTAATGCCGAATTAGAGCACAGCTTTCGAGGAGGAGGGTATGCCACCTCCTCCTCTTCTCCTTTTTTCTCCCCTCTTCCCTCCTTACATCGCATGTGACGTCACTCGTGAAGGCCTCATGAAGGTCGCGACCTTCACGAGTGACCTTCGCGATGTCACTCGTGACCTTTGTGACATCATTATGGGAAACGTCCCATAATACAACACGCGGTTACACCGACAGCGACGCCGCTGAAGCCGGAAACTGATGCCTAAAAGCTGCGCTCTAAAAGAAATCTATACTTTCCTAACACAAGCTTGTTTCCCACATCACTGTACAAATGAAACTGAGGAGGTCAAACCTATACACAAAAGGAGTTGTGTGCTCTAAACAAAGTCGAAGGATTCCTTCAGTTTCCAGCAGAGGAAGCACACACCTCTTGCCCTGTAGTCTGCTGTTGGACCCCTGCTGATTGGAATGAGTTTCCAGGGGAAGCAGTGCAGGAAGCCCTCCGACCCCACCATTGTCTACAGGGAACTTCTCTTGGATCCAGTGCCGATACTGGATGACCTCGTCCGTCACCCGGATGATTCTACCCAGGATACTGCCCAAAAAAACAATCACAGTTTAACATTGCATTCAATCAGCAATAAGACATGCCTCAATCAGCACTCCCAAAAAGCTGATATAGGTTGTACTCACCCTTTCATTCAAACACACAGAGACATCATTCCAAACCAACAAATGTTACGAACCAGAGTCCCAATCTCGTGGGATTACTTGGAAGACAGCTTCACAGTGTCTAGCACCAAGCACTTCTACTGACCACATTGAGAAACCCAATTTCCAAAAGTGATAACTGTGATAATGTGCCTCATCTCTTTCCAAAAGGGAACCTGAAGGCATCCGAGTGGCAGGCTATGTTACGCCCAGATTTCGCTTCTTCGTGATGCCACGCAGAAGCAGAGTCCTTTAACGGAATACCGGCAGTCACCGAGGCTTCCAGGAGGTTTCTTCTCAAAGTTCTCTCACCAGCTTCGGCAACCTTCGCAATATACCTAGAAATGCCCTTTCAGACAGCACACATCTAAACACGCCAAAGCATTCCATTGCTGGCAAAAACGAAACAATTGCAATATCATGAACACTTTGGTTTGTTACGATGCAGCCTTCGCGCTATTCTGTGTGCTCATTTTACAAATGTTTTTTCAATTTTTTTTATTTCAGCGAACAAGTATTAGTGATAGCGATTAGCAAATTAACCTGAATGAACAGCGGTGAACAGTGCACGGCGCACCCAACTCCCAGGGGTGGCGGCACTTCTTGTAAGAACCACTCCGAAGGCTGCTGGAACAGCATCACGGCTCACTCTCCCCGCGGCGTCTCCACAGTTTTTCGCAGAATTCACGGTTGCACATCGTTTGATCGAGTGTCGAGATCATGCTAGAGCGCTAACTACGTTTTTTTTTTTTTTTATTGACAAGCGTGATCTGGGCAGTTTAGGTACTCAGTGCTCGTTTATGCTCATTCTTCACCCAGAAGCAACCAACAACTGTGCTGTTGGACACAAGTTCGACCCGTCGGGGCGGGTGATGCACCAGTGGAGTCTGCAATGGGGCAGGATCTTAAACTGCGACGGCAAACGAAGAGGCTTCCGCAGGCCAATGTCTGGATAGGTGGGGACGCCTTCTGGAGTTGGAGGTCAGGCTTGCAACGTACGCCACAAAATTGTGAAATCGGACCCTACCCTTGACGTACAATGCGATCGCCGAGCAAGCGCAGAAGATGTGGTTGATGCTGTCATTTACGAAGTGCGAGGTGTCGTTGGACGACGCTAATGACGTGCTTCGAGAACGTGGCAGTGACGACGGCGGGACCGACGTCACCAGTTCAAATGAGTCTTAGTCCAGTCGCGGACAAAGTGAGAACGACTTGGAGCAGCTTCAGTTGTCCTGCCTCAAGCGTATACTTTCTAGTTTCGATAACACCTGGGCATCTCATGCACTTCGCGTGTGCATGCGCAGTCAAAGTACGCCAGAAGGCATAGATCGCGTGTTGGAGGCTGGGCTTTCGAAACAGATACTTTATCGTTCTTCGCAGTAAAATGCGCATCTAAAGATTTTTTTTTTTTTTTTGCTGATGTGCAAAGTGGGAGGGTCGACTTACAATCGTGTAAATACAGTAGATGAGCATAAATTTGTGCCAACTGAAATAGGACTTCAGCTTTGTTTCTGTAGGCTTTCTTTACAGGTGACTCAGTATTTTATCAGTTTCTTAAGTAGCCCCTAGACAGTAGAAACAGCAAGGAGTATCCTACCTTTGTTTAGTGTCCACAATGGCTGGGTGGAACGAGTGCACAGCTTGATTGAGAACCATGTAGGCGTACTCAAAGGCCTTCTTCACTGTGAGTGCACCATACGAACTGCGGCCAATGTCGTTGCCTGAAAAAGTTTCAGAATACACACGAGTGAAAAAGATATCCCACCCCAAATTTTCCAACCAAGCATACAATATCTCCCAAAAACTTTTTAACAGAGATGCAACAGAAAAATACCTCTACCTTCACATATCTGCATGTAGAAACTGAAGAGTGAACTCTAACTAAAGACTATGTACAGTCTTTTATCATAAGTTTAGAGCCCACCGCGCGTGTGGCCCAAGCGAGTGAGCTCCTGTGCAATGGCACCCTTATCGTCGGTGCTTGCTGGCTGCGAGATATTTGAGAGCGCGGGGGGAAGGGGGGGGGGCTTTGCTCCAGCTATTTTGCGCCCTTTATTCTCGAGATGAGCGCGACGCGAAAGCAAATTTCTTCTTCGCTCTCAAAAATCTCAGCCAGCGAGCGCCGGCGGCAAGAGCGCCACTGCACGGGAGCGAGCCGGCTCCCGCCACGTGTGCGGTGGGCTCTAAACTTTTGACAAAGGCTATACATGCTGAAGCTCACTTAGTGTGCCACATTTGCCTTGCAAGATTTGGTTTTCCAAAGTGCTTGAGTTTTATGTCGTCAGGAAGTATTATTACTATCATCGAAGCTAGATCAATAGACAATCCCTAGATCGGACCCACAATTGCTTAACATCCTGAAACCACATAAACCATTTTACCTAAATCACTTGAGACATCCAGCATATACACAAATGTGAGCCACACGATATACCAGTCCAAGAAAACTGGTTGCACCAGGCAGTAATAGCACTTCACTAGCCTACATTACATAGTAGTTTTAACTGCCACTCATGCCCAAGTGCTTGCGCAAGATGAGAGGAGACAAATAAAACAATCCCTTGCATGCATGTTTCTCTAGTACTTTCTATCTCCAAAACATAGAACTGTAGAAGGGAGCCAATTATACACAAAGCAATATTACGTAAAGCAAGTAAACAATGCTCAAACTAGATTTCATCAAAGACTGATTCTCCCAGATAGCTGCACTGCAAAGTGCACAAAAAATTGCAAACATATTATGAAGGTTATTTTTGCAGAGAAGTTTCACACTGTGCAAGTCAGTACTTTTCTGCACACTACTATACAGGATGTTTCAGTGAAGGCTTTCAAAAATCCCTAAAAATAGCGTGGTTGAGAAAAAATTAACCCTTTCTGGGAACAAACTGCCAGTCGCGGCGGAAGTCGGGAATTACAAAAGATATTAAAATTAGCTAAATAATTAACTAAAACTTGCTAATTGACTTTTTAAATAGTGAAAATGAGCATATGGTTCTAATGATAAACTTGCTAAGCATCATGCAAAGACACTTTCAGAAAGATATAAGGTAAAGGAAACTTTTTATGACGTTCCCCCCAAAAAATTTATTTTTGACGAGTTTTTAAGTCTTATTTTCCTGCCGGAGCGCATCTTTGCAACAGCGGTCCTGCCCCCCGTAGCAGAGATATGCAATATGTGCGCCATACTTCCCTCCCTCCTACGAGGGAGGCTAGCAGCGGTTTTACACCTTGGCCACAGAGGCGCAGGACCGCTGGTGCAAAGATGCGCTCTGATAAGAAACCGAAACCTAGAAATGCATTCAAATTAAGTATTGTTTCAGAATGACGTAAAATGCTGCCCCTGCTTTAGATTCTTCTAAAATGTGTTGATTTAGTGGTTTTTGATGATGCTTGGCAAGTCTCTTATTGGAACCATATGTTCATTTTCACCAATTAAAAAGTGTTTTAGTAAATCTTAGTTCATTATTTAGATAATATTTGCTGAAACTCCCGGTATAACCAATGCTTTATGTTGCCACGATTTCTGGTGAATAAGGTGTATTGAATCAGCACCTGAACTTTCAGAAAGCTTTATTAAAACAATACCCTTTGAGAGACCCTCTCACCAGTCTCATAGTTATTGGAAGAAGTAACAAAGTTAAAGGCAACAAACAGAGGGAAAATCACGAGCAATGTAAACAACCAATATGCAAGTAAACAGGTTCTCGCCTGGGGTCAGGGGGTCTTCGATGCAGAGAATGGAGGGACGGAAAGCGTCGCCAGTGTCTCGGAACAGCTCGTCCTTGCGCAAGTATGCACCGCCGTCCTTGACACGAATGGCCGTGAGGAAGTAGTTGAAGTGCTTTCCGTACAGGTCAAAGAACTCTAGCAGCAGCGTGCCCAGATTAGGGTTGGGGCCATCCCCGCCACGGGGGTGCAGCTGCAGGAAGCTGACTGTCATGAGGATGAGAGAGTAAGAGCTGATGCCGCCCGTGAACACTTCATTGAGGTCGCGCTGCAGCAGGAACTGCTTCAGCACCAGGACCAGCTTGGCCAAAGCCGGGAACTTCTCCTTGAAGGACTGCAAGTCAAGGTTCATCCATTCACATCACATAGCTTTGCCTCCGCATGGCACGGACACTGACTACAGCTCATTTTACAACGGGCTGTACTAGTAAGCATTACGTGTAGACTTGCAAAGTGAATATACTGCCCCATTCATTGTAAGCGACACAAGGGGAATAACTTGGTTTATACTACTATACCCGTTTGCACCTTAAGAAAAAAGGAAGTTTCGCTCATTGTTCATACGCCGTGCGAAGTAGTTTTTACAAGATTTGGTTAACGGAGGCAAAAGCCATGCTTTTGGCATTTGAAACCTGCAAGTCTTGATACGATAATGTATATCTAATTTAAAATGCACCTACATATATCTGAATTCTTTACATATAGGGGAAGTTAGTAATGCTCCGTGAGAAGGCGGACTTCTTTTACTACGTTTCTTGAGGGGAAAACGAGTATAGTCACAATAGAAATATGAAGTAGAAGAATGGTACCAAAGTGGCATGGCTAAGATATAGTGAAGACAGCTTCCCCTGTTTTTGCTTAGATCAAGAGCAACTCTATTATAACAAATAAATAAATAAAAAAAAAACTACAAGGGCAATATCCTTAGTGATTGAGCAAAAAACAATTGCAATTTAATTTGCTGCCCTCACGTTAAAGATGCAGACATACCTTTATCAGGCGAGCACTTTTCACGCCATTGTTCATGTTGAAGCTGATGTCCACCTTGACGGTGGTTCTGGCATCTGTCAACTTCACAATTGGAACCTGTGGCAAAAAAATTGAACTGCCTATGTCTGCCAAGTTTATCATGCACCTGCACGGCCCCCTAAGGATGATACTAGTTAGCATGTGCAAACAGATATTATGCTATAGTCAGTGACAGGTCAAGAACAAAGTGGAAGCTTTTCCCACCTCTTTCCACTTTAGCAGAACGAACGGAGAAAAAGAGGTTGTTTCCTCCAGCATTTGCTCTGCTAAAGTGGAAAGAGGCAGGAGGAGATTCCGCTTTGTTCTTGGCTGGTCACCAACTATAGTTTCCATGTCTCATTCAATTAGAAAAAGGAACACAACATACACAAGACAAAAAAAGCTCAATTGATTGGAGATTTTCAAAAGAGCACCAGGAGTAAAATCTGCAATGCAATAAACATTATCCATTGCAAGAAAGGTAAGAAAGAAACTGGTTCCAATGGACAGAATAAAAGGTAAATATGAAGTTGGACCATCAACTTAATGTGCATAAACAATGAACGCATAAAAAGTAAATTTGGGGGCTTACATGCCAAACAAACTAAGAGTATCTGGCATGCCCCAGAGGAGGACTGAAGATTAAATGAGACTAGCTGGGGACATTTTGATGCACAATCACAATCTGTTACACAGCGCCAACTCTGCAGTGAGCCTCCCCTGCAATGAGCCTCCGTCAAATTGCAAGCACCTCTGCCACGATCCACACCCACCAAATGGGGATCCGTAGGCCAGCACTATGCATTAGTGCTGCCAAAGGCGGCATGAATGCGCGAGAGAGCTACAGTTGGTGTGAAAGAAATTCTTTCAATGAATCTGAAACACTAAATATGAGATATGAATTACCTCTTTAAACAGAAATGTCAAGTGTAATGGGACATCTTACTTATAGCAAGCGGTCCAAGAAGTGGAATCGTTCAGATTCGTGGTCTGTACATTGAAAAGTCTGTGCACAATTGTTAAAGACTCCCCACACTGATTGCATCTCGGGACCTCTCAATAAAAAGCCAAGTGTGGCATTCATATGGCCAGTCCTCAGATGGTGTGGAATCACCTAGAAAAATATGCCTCATGTCAAGCACACTGCTGATCACTGTAGGTTGTACAATAGGAAGATTACTGCCGACTGCTTCATTTCAACGAGCTGACCACATTTTCTAATAGGTTTCATTGCTTACAAATAGTAATAGGCCAAACTTTTGCTGAATCTTAGAGGTCGGCTTTTGCCGAACTTTCCTAAAGATTTCACAAAGATTCGGCAAAACTACATTGCTGCCAGACCTAAAAGTTGATATAGTTTTTCCATGTGAAAAAAGTTCAGGTTTTTTTTTAAATGTATATTCACAATTATTACTAAATAAAGTGCTATTCTACAAGATAATTGTATTGGTGTAATTTGTGTGTTCACTGGTAATTTTAAAGCGACTTTTTGCAGAAGTGGTGTGACAACAGTGTTGGGTAGTAGCCAGGCACGTAGCCAGGATTTTGTTTCGAAGGGGGGGGGGGAGTTCATGACAAAATGCTGTATGAGGGGGAGGGGGGAGAGGAGGTCCCAGCAATATTGAAGATTTCGGGGGAAGGGGGGGGCCAGGCCCCATGGACTACCCCCTGGCTACGTGCCTGGTAATAGCGACGGACGCAGTCAGCGCAGTCAGAATACACGAGTTTCGGTTTGGAGGACTCATCAGCGCAAGCCTGCAAGTGTATATTATTGAAAAAGGCAGTAACACTGTGTTCTATACTTCCTCTGCGAGTCACAGTTTCGAGAGCAAAAATTAATGCAACAGTTGTTGAGCCTTTACCAGAAGAGATAATATTATTGTAAATAAGCATATTTTTCGACTTGAGTCACTTCAGCTTTGCATGAAAGTGTGCGTCCCACATTTGCAACGTCTCATTTTTTAACTTTTAAAAAGCCGGTTTCTGATGTTAGGACACACCAGACGTTTAAGAAGATGGAAAAAGCTGGGAATGTTGGATGTGAGATGTCGACCATGATAGTTCTTTGTTTAGTTTTATGTGGAAAACTGCAAAATAACGCTAATTGAAAAACAATATTTTGTTTTGTCACGAACTACTTGCGAGCCGAAAACAGGATTGCTATAATGGCCTTGCCACTATACTTCACTGAAAAGATCAAATGAAAATCATGTTATCTCGAATGTACCACACTCGAATGTATTACTTGTGCAGTGGACTGCGTCATTTTTGTGTCAAATTCTGGTCAATCTTCCGTTCTTGAGGGAGAAAATGTTGAAGAGAACCACACTTGCAAAGCCTGACAAACACACAGTTACCATGTCGCCTACTCCGCACATCATCTTAACCGCTGGTATAGTACTACACTGTACGATGTAACCACACGACTGGACGACGTCCATTTGCAATCAATGGTCCAGTCATGTTCTCGCGCGTGCGCGAGAACATGACAGTGCCGAATTTTTGCCGAATTTCTGCCGAATCTTTGCCGAACTTTCCTTCAAAAGTTTTGCATGTGCCGAACTTTGCCGAACTGGAAGTTGGGCAGATTCGGTCCATCACTACTTACAAGTAATAGACTGCAGCATCATAGTGAAATCATTAAACTTTTTATACAGCTAGTGCAACAAAAGAGTTCAGTGCCTTTTGGTCATACTCGATTGCATCGCTTGTAGGTGTAAAATAGAAAACTGGAGCAAAACTGTTATTTTTGACTGAATGGAACCAAAACCATACTTAAGCATTAAGATTGAACACGAACCGGAACAAAACTGTAATCTCATGTGGCGGTTACTGGTTAATTTGAAAATGGTTTGGCGTAATCAAATGTGAGCCGCACCTTAATTCTTGCGGGTGGCGGCGCAAAGTCATAAATATTTGTGACGGTGGCGCCAGCGGCGCAGTTTTGACGAAACAAACAGCGGTGACGTGGAGAACAATAATATTTCACGTCTCTGTACAACAAGACTTGGCGTCAGCGAGTATGCACGGTGACATAGACTTTACATAGGGTTCTTGGTTTTCGAGTAAAACCCAATATTACCCAATTTTTGCACCCGAACAGTTTTCATGAAAATCCGGTTAAACCTAATCTCTCCCTGAATACCGGTCTTGAAATCAGCTGAATTTATGGAAAATAAGAACAATTCTGGATCTGTTTCACAACTGCTTCCTCGGTCACTCGTTTGACGGTAACCAACTTCTTTGATTTGCATTACGTTTGCATATATTTGCTTGCGAATGAATCAGAAGGTGGAAATTTACTGCAAGATCCAGCACCATTGCTATATCATATACTTTGTTGAGCCTTGTTCGTGTAAATAACACAGTTCAGGAACTTGCCCTTCATTAAAAAAAAAAAAAAAACGAGAAAACTTGATTTCCTAATGGTTTTAGAAAGACCCGATTTCTCCCCGATTATCAGTCTCAGAAATAGTGCCAGATTTTTTAAAACTATAAAACCCGAAAACGAAGAACCGTAACTTATACATTGTTTCACCTTACGATGGACTGCAAAGGACACTACGAGCCACCCCAACCAATCCATAGCTTTGAGGGTGTCACGTGCCTTCTGATTGGGTGGTGCAAGGTGGGGAGCACCAAATCATGTGACAAGCTACGAGCTATGGGTTGGCGCGGGCAGCTTGTAGCTTCCATTGTCGAACATCATTGGGTCAAACGGAGTATATCTGACTATGCCAAAAGGCCAAAGATCTATTTTTGTATGTGTGTGTGTGTGTGCAAGTCTTTTGTTCTTGCTGCTAAGCAACATTTCTCAAGGGAAAAGAAAGCAAACATAAACATCAAAATAAAAGCAAAAAGTCGACGGCTGTCGGCGTGTTTGTTCCGCGGTGGCAAAATTGTGGAGGCGCCAAGAGGCGAAGCTGCGGCGAGCGCGACTGACACTGTTAACAGTCAACAGGACGCCAATAGCAGCCAATACCGTAAACGCCGCTTTAAGAGTTTATTTTCTTTCGCGTTTTAAGAGTGGCTTGTTGCTAGTTTTCTTGTATGTCCTTTTTGTTTTAATCATCTTTAGATCACCTTTCATTGACTTTCTCGTCTTGAACTCTAGTCACAAGGTTATCAGTCGTTTGAGCAAGGCGTTCAAGCGTGCGGGGTGGGTAGTTTACGAGTATGGTGCGTTCTACAGCCACGGGTGCACATAAGAGTACTGTACTTAGGTACTGCTTCTGAGCGCCTATATGACCACTTATTTTGCGTAGAACGGTGTTACTGAACTTTACTGAACAGGAACCGAACCGGTACAAAATGCAAAGCTACTAAACCCGAACTGGAATAACGACCAGTTCGACTCCCTGGTTTATCATAGTGGAAAAAAAAAAAAAAAGCCTGGAGACTAGGGACAAAAAATTGGACAAGACAACACAGTCATTTGAGACAATGTCTTGTCCCTAGTCTCAAGGATGTTTCTTTCCACTATGATTGTTCACCTGCTTGCCTATGCATTAAGCCTTATTTCAGTAATCCCTTGTTTACTAAGCGTTTTAGTGTAGCCATGAGAAATTGGTCGACCAAAACACTTGCAATCTGACATGAAAATTTGCAGTAAGGTACTTTGGAAATAGGAAAGCTGTCCTTTTATTGTGGAAATGAATTCCAAGGCTTAATACAGACAGACACTCCATTGCGTGTGGTTTCTTTCAGGACATACAGAAACTTGTCTCCAAATGAGCCTTTGATGCTTAGCTACCTGTCATCCTACTGCTTTTAAATCTAGCCATCTCCCTGCATACCAGAAACATTCAACAGGGCAGGAAAATCGTAAATGTATGCTTCAGCAAACAAACTTACAGAGGCTTTGTCGAGGACTTTTATTGACCGGGGTTCAGCAATGCCGTGAGTGAGCAGAGCCTTTTCAAGTGTCCACATGGGCAGGGTTTCCCACTTCCCAAGAACCACCACATCGATGTCGCTAAAAATTAAACATAAAGATAAACAGAGTGAACAGTTAAATTGGAGAAGACAGCACAGAAACAAATTGTCCAGAAAACATCTTGAATTGCAATAATCACAGCTCTATGCATCAGCCCCCACAGTATGGCAAAAGACTAGATTAGCTATGGTGATTAGGAAAACAGTTTTAACACAATCAAAATTAATGAAAGCCAGATTTGTAATCTTGTTTGCGAATTTCAAACTCTCCAGTCACACAAACCTTCATAAGTATAGATGGTGTCCTATCTACAATAATAAGTTAGAGAAAAAATAACTGTAGCCAACCAAAAGTTATTCAGTACACCTTTAAAGTAACTCTTTAGAATTATTTAAGTTATTATCTAGTCACAATTTCAGCAGTTAAATACTTCCTAAGTTACAATGCAATTTTAGTAACTGTACTTAGTTGTATTTCAAAGTAATTTGTAATGATAGCTATTTTTCAGCACTGTGTTCATACATAGATATTCATATTGTCTCAACATCAATACTACATGTCACTGTTACAAACTATCTGAAGTAGAACCGTGCTAAATCAAAACGAAACTGCGCCACTATCTTTTCTGTGTTAGAAACTGGAATGTTAATCAGCAATTACAGCACCCTTTGGTGCCATAAAATATTTTAAAAGTACCTGGTTACTTTACCAACTTGGTTACTTTACCAACTTGGTTACTTTACCAACTTGGTTACTTTTCATGAGCAACTGTAACTAACTAAATACACTTGTAAGAATGGAACTATTTGCAACTTAAAGGCCGACATACATTTCGCGCTGTCCACTTTTGCCGGCCCCCTCCTTTCCTATATCCTCTCCACTTTTTACCTTGCTGCAACTGGGCTCCTCCTCGCAACTTAGGAGAGGGAAGCGCTAAGATTATCTTCCCTGCGGAAAACAGAGGTTGTACGTCGGCCTTTAAGTACATTTCAATTTTTTTGTTTTAAGAGCTCTCACAATAGAAATATTTTATGAAAATTGCACAGAAGGCTTTCTACTTGTTTTGCTATGTATAAAAAATAGAATAAACACATCTTGAGAAGAAAGAACCAAGAGACAGACACTAGCAGGAGTGGCACAATAAGCAGACACCAACATTGGTTTAAGATAAAAGGGACCTCAAAGTGCAAGGGTTATTCTCTGTAGTATTGGCATGAACAGTATCGACAACTAAGCCTTGGGCATGCGTGAAAGTTCAAAACTAAACTGCTCCAACAGCTTCCTGAACTGTGGCTGTCTAGGGTGAAATAAAAAGACATCTTGCAAAATGCAACATTTGATGAAAAAAGGCACTAAATATCACCCACCACATTCTTTTGCACCTGCAGAGATAACATATCTGGTGAAGTTCTATGTCTTTTTAATTCTAACGTATCAAGTATTAAAGTCAAACATGTCACAAATATAGCATTAAAAACACTTCCTTTCCCAGAAATATCTGGGAAACCTTTTGATGCTGCCTTAAAGATCTCAAGAACTCTGTGCAGTGAAGTGCAACTGGGCTAAGAGAACCGAATTCAGCCATAAGAAGGTTGAGTTGTCTACTGCCCTAATTCAAATAAAAAAAAAAAGTTTCCAATTAATTAAAAGCTATTCCACCTTTTGTAAACAATTTTTCCTCAAGTTATGGTAGACAAGTAGCCATTAACTCAAATGTGAAGCTTCTCTATCAAGCTATGCAATTGCAAGTATGCACACTCATATGACTGAGACAAGAGAATCTCAGTACACTGCATCCAGTCAAACAGTGGATCAGCTCACCTCGTTGGAAGATAGAGGCCTGTTCGGAAGCTGCCAAATATCTCCACCTACAGAAACAACCGTACAATGTTGGGTCACAATAAACTTCAGAGTCCACCGCATCTTTGGATCAAGAACAAACCCTAACCCTCCAGGTTCCTCATTCTGAAAAACAGTCATTGTGAAACTCTTGCTCAAAAATATTCCTGGGAATACAAAAAAAAAAAAAAATGGCAGCAACGTTTTTCTTTAAACTGCTTCAATGCATAGCATGTAATATTTAAGGAGAAATCATTTAAAAGGAAACCGAAGCGGATCTGTATCTGAGGAAAAACATTCAAATCGTCTTCATTTGGCCTCCAGGATCACGAATATCGAGATTACTTTCCAATGGTGCACGAAGGCTGCAGAAAATCATTTTCAAAGTACCGCCTTCCCGGAGTGCAACGTCATATCGGGAGTTTTCGGAATCTCCACTCTCGCCCAACCTCAGCGCCTATCAAAGCAATGCACGCACCCTCTTGCTATTTTCTAAAAGGTCAGGAAAAGACGTCACGACTGGTGTCAGTGCGGGAGAAATATACCAGGCAAGCTTGCGATTGCGCGTGCTGCCAACACGAGTGACACGCTTGGCGGCCGAAAGATCCTAGATGACATAACGACTGGTCCGAGGTTTTTCGAGTATTCTCACATTTAGTTACTTACATCTTCGGGAAAACCAACGTGCGTTTTAGATTCAAGGGATAAAAATACTTTAGAATTCACCTCTAACTTGTTTTTTTTTTGTTTTTTTCAAGAATCTCTTCGGCTCTACTTTAAAGGGCAGCTACGGAGCTTCTTTAAAAAAATGGGTTAGAGGTGAATTCTAGTGTATTTTGACCCTGTGAACCCGAATACCCAAACCATTTGCTGCGCAAGTATTGTTAAATGCGAGATAACGCGAAAGACAGTCGCTGTACGTGACGTCATTGACGGATCTTTTGGCTGCCCAAGGCTAGGGAAACGGGGCTTCAGCCCTATTTTGAAATTGCTCTTATGGCTCTCCGGAGCGTCGCATTGAAACAAAATCGTGATGTCTGTTATTCTAACGGCCAAGTGAACACAATTCATGTGTTTTTTCTCAAATGCAGAACCGCCCCATCTTCCCTTTAAATCTGACGTCAGAGGAGACCACCTGACCCGACGCCATGTGTCGTCACTGTGTCAAGTCATGATGTCGTGCAACGCCACAGTGTCAAATCGTAGTGTCACGCGACGTCATGTAATTGACATCGTAATGTCAAACCACGACCGGTTGCGACATGCCCTGCCATGAGGTACAGGAGAATGCATGGGTGCACAAATTTCTGGAAGCAGGGACTTTCGTTAGAACTAGGATTACGTGTTTTCAGAGTTTATTTCTCGTGAAATTCCGTAGGTGTCTTTCGGAGTTTACTTTTCGCTGAAAACTCGGGGTTTATCAGAGTTTATTTTTCTTAGATTCTCAATTTTATGAAATTTTGAGTTTATTTTGATGTGCTCCAAATTTTTAAAATTAAAAAAAAAAAAAAAAAAAAAAATCTGGTTACTATGACCCATTGTGCTGAAGGAACCTTGACAAGCTAAAAGGCAAACTCCTTTTGTCAGTAGTTTGAGATTTCAAAGAAAACTGAAGTGGCATTTTCTCGGGACCACTGACCCTGTGCTGTCGCGATCTCGAAACAGTTTTTCGGATAAATCCGAATTGATGGAAAATTTACTACCGAGTGTTTTGCAGATTTATCCGAGAACACGGGACCCTAGTCATAAGTTGTAAAAGATACCATGATTAAAAAAAAAGAAAAAAACCTTTCCACAGTAACAGGAAAGTAGAAGGAACCTACACCATAATAATTTCCAATCTAATGAGAGGACAGGGGGTCTGTTGAAAAGGAATGTGGAGAAAATGGTCAATGCCTGTGCATACTTTTAGCCACCCTCACAGAGGTATTGGAAAAAAAAAAAGGAAAAGTTCAGTAGCCCAGGTTGTGTGCAAGGGGAGGAATAAAGAGTAAATCCAAAACTAAAATAAAATTGAAAGAATAAATTCTTAAAGTTAAACTATGAATGATGTCAGAACACTCCCTCAGTTTCTGGCCTGTCACAGTTTACAATGTCTGGCTGCCAGGGAAATGACCAATGGAACCGGAAGACTTAAAAAAAAAAAATACATTGATTCACACAACTATGCATTCAGATGAGAAAGTGGGAACGACAACAGTACCTCTGCCTGGGGCCAGAGTGACAAGATGACTTCTTTTATCCTCTGGATGACCCCTAACCGCATCTCGTGCTCAGCTGGAGAGGGCTGCATGTACCTGTAGAACTCCTCAATTTCATCGTGCAACCTGCAGAAGAAAACACGCAACAAATATAATTCTTCAGTTTTCTCTCTAGATATGAGCAGGCATCAATGCTTGCAAATGTGCCACAAGGGCACACTGCAACCGTCCTTACATTAATTACACAAGAATATTTGCTGTGCACTAAACGTCGCACAACCGAAAATCTGAGGAATGACAAGACTGCAAGCACATTATAATCCCAAGACAATAAATGTGGATCTCAAAACGCAAGAAAAATAGGGCCCCACGAAAAGTAGTTGAAGGCATCTGACGTGCGAGGTGCACCCAGAAAGGATACAGTAAAAGCAACTTGCGAGGTTTGTCAAGCAAAAAATATGCAGAAACTCCCCACGTCATGCCACTGCGGCGGCGCTGCCGTCAGCACCATAAGAGTTATTATAATGTATGCTAAAGGTTGAACTGGCGCTAGTGTCTATGCGACTTCCGTGACGCAAATTGAAGCAGACAGCAGCCAGTCTACTTTTGCGGAGCTCCTGTGCACTACTATGAGAAAACGCACGTGCATTTTGACTCTTCGCCGGAAAATAACACAGAACGCTTTGGTTATTTGGGTCGTACCGAATAATATGTACCTTGATTAACATTGTAAAAGTAATTTCTTTAGTTAGCGCATTTTTCGTCATCAGTGAACGATGTTTAATTTCGCTACATTTCAGTCCCAAGCATGTGTTCCGCAGCAGGTGTGTAAAAACAAGCGACGATTCAAAGCAAAATTACAATTGAAAGGAATATAGAGTGTTCAAGATTCACCAGCATTCCGGTGATGCTTATATATTGCTAATATGCCAGTCCTGTCACTATATGAAAATGACCCTATCGCGCATGAGCGGATAAAAACATTTAAAAAATAAACAATAAAGTATGTGGGCTATGAAAGGTGTCTCTTCGTATTGTTTTCTCTGCCGGGCAGCTTTTATCAGGCACTTGTTCTCAAAGATTTCGAGCGAGCGGGTGATATTTTGAACGTAGAACAAGCATCTTCACACAGAGCAGAACGAATAAAACAGTACTCACTCATTTAAAGTCGGAATATATTATGTGGCCTTCAATTTATTTTGATCGTACATGCACCGGTAGCTACTGATACAGTTTTACTGCGTAGTTCTTGTCGTCTCCCATGGTTTCCCAATGTCCTTCGTTCATTTGGCCCTTATATCCCCCAAGCTGAAAAGCGCCGACGTCTGTTTGCACTAACGGTGTCCGACAGTGCACATAAATACATGTACAAAGCCGTTTTAGCACTGTTTTTAATGCGATAAATTTGGAAGAAAAACGTAACTGACCCCTTATTTCATCAGCATGACTGAGAAATGTTCCAAGCTACTTAGTATGTACGAATTATTCGGGATATTTGCTCTTATGGTCGAGCGCCGGGAGAAAATGCACTAACCTTTTCCCAAACAAATGCATTACCGGAAGTCATTTTCGGCTGGTTGCTGTCTGCTTAAATTTGCGTGAGCACACCACTAGCGCCACTTGAACCTCTGCGTACATTATAATGACTATGGTCGGCACTGCGCAGACGATTCACTTCCCGCGAATCTGGTTCCTGCACAGGCGCGTTTGTGAACCGCGTGATGGTGTATATGAACACCAAGAAATAAGAGGCTTGCTCATGCCACCTGCTCTGAAGACGACGGAAAAATTAAGACAGGCGAAAATAGCTAAGAGTACGGTGGCTAAAAGCCAGAGAGAGAGAGAGCAACAGGGAAAACACCTGAGATTGCCGTAAACGAGTCACAACAGCCCCCGACTATGAATAAAAAAAAAAAAAAAAAAGGCAGGCATGACGCAACGAAGTAGGTATCTGACTGGGACTTCTCAGGTCGTCAACGCAGACAGCCATGATGATGCAAAAGGGTTTGATGGAGTGTTTAGAGAACCAGTTTTTTTACACTTACATTTGTTACGTCATTTACATATTATTCGCGTTGATTTAAATAATTTAGAAATATTTTAGGTCCAATGGAATTCCAGTTCACATATCGAGTTATGTTTCACCCGGCAAAACAGAACTTACCCCCCACCCCCTTTACCACTGCACAATTTAGAGTAATCAAGGAACCCATGGAAAAGCCATTTTTCTTTGGGACCATTGGTTACGTTTCCCAAACCACGACAGGGAAGTAGTCGCTGCCTCAATGGCCAGCAAAGCCAATCGTCGTTCCTCGTTGAGAACGAAAATCTCCTATCGCGGACGTCGAGGAAGACCATCAAAAAATAAACTCAAAACGTCAGTCAAGGTCGGCCGAAAGCGCCGACGTCGAGGACAGCACACGTCTCCAAACAAGTGACAATGACACCGCGACGCCGCCGCAGCGATGATGTCAGAGAAACCGGAGTCCCCGCGCGCCGCCGTTCTCCGCCGGCACACCCTCGGGCAAAGAGGGGCCCGCCCACCGACCGCGAGCCACGCGGCTCGCCAAAGACGCGCAACACTAATAGTTCCCTACGATTCCCAAACGGTGGGTCACCGGAATTCTTACCAACAAGATGCGCGAGCACTAAAGTCGAGGGGATACGGGGCAGACGAAGTCAAAGAAAATTTCGGGGATTTTTACGTGCCGAACCAACGAAGGGCATCTGGCACGTTCCCTGCGAAGGACCGAGGATACATTTCGACCACCTGCGGATCTTTTGACGTGCGTCTGAAATCTCGGCTACACGGCTCCTTCTCCGCAATAAGCCTCCGTCGAATTGTAGGCACCTCGGCCGCGATTCGAACCCGCAAACCTAGGACCCGTAGGCCGACGCATTGCCTCGGAGCTACCGAGGCGGCTGGAGTCCTCCGCCATTACGGAAAAAGTCCGCGACCACGATGGGATCTCAAGTGGCACCCGCATCCCAAGAGTGCAATTAAACGCACGGATCGATCCACAGCGTCGGAACACGGCGGGGAGTTTCCCGACCCTCATTCCCCTGACAGACCGCTCCGTCCCAATAGAGCGTCCCGAACGTAATGAACATGCGCCGACAAGGGGCTCCTTTAACTGCCCATTTTCGAAGCGCCCGAACAAAGGGCAATGCAACGCTTCGGAGGCTCGAAGCAAACGAGCGCCCACAGGGGAGAGCATTGTCGAGGCTGTTTTGTTTTGAACTCTCACGACGCGGCGACCGGCGGAGCACGCATTCAAATGTGGCCGCCGCGGCTACACAAGGCCGACCCCGCGATCGTCCGCGAGCACGCGCTCCAAGTCCACCTCCACGACCAGCGCCGACACCAGTCGCGGCGATAATTGTGTCGCGAAACCGGGATGCCACAATAAACATTTAGAAAGTGGAGATACAAAAGGGACGATACCCTGTCTGTATTGTCCCTTATGTGTCTCCACTTATTAAATGTCTGAAAAGCACCAACACGCTCAAATAGCACAACCGCAATCAAGGTTCGCATTCCCAGCATCCAACCACGGTGTAAGAGGGAGGAAGAAACAGCGAGCCGCCCGATCCAGTGCCTTTAGATCCGATCAGCACTCGACGGCAGAAAATATCGCCCAGCGGTTCCGACGTCATCGTTCCCGTGACAACAGCGCTGAAACGCTGCGCTTCTACGCGATAACGAATTCACTTTCCCATTTCTTCGAACAAGCACCAAGACGAGCAGAGCCCCCGGCGAACCCACGTACGCCACTTTCCCCCTCCCTTCGCCTCAGTTCGGGAATCTCGAAAGCAAACAAATAAGAGCGTATCCTCTCAAGGTTGCACCGGGTAGCTTTATCGCTTCCTATTCTACTGAGTCACGGCAACAACCTTGCAACCGCGAAAAAAAATGTATATATAAAAAAATGTATATATATATATATATATATATATATATATAGGTGAAGTAAGGTAAATATAAAAACAAGGGACCGGGAAAAGTTAACAACTCAAAGATGCGCACTGTCGGAGTTACTAATTCGAAGTTTATAACAACGTTTCAAGCGGGGTTCGCTCTTCATCATATATTCTTTAGTTTATTTGTCTGGTTTTCTAAAGAACATTTGAACGTACTTGAAGCCCTGCCCCCCCCTCCCCAACGTCTTTCAGTTCCATCGCAGAACAGAAAAGAACACATTTCGAAGAAAACCGGGCTTGGAAAACGCTCATCTATCTAAGTGCGCAGTCATAGCAGGTAGAACCGAAAAGCCTCCATCCGAAAACACGGCCCTCGACCAAAGTATTACCGTTCGTAAGACTTTACGTAAGACGCGACCATGTAATGCTTGCATCGAACATTGAGTGGCGCAGCAGGTTCGATCACGCACGAGTCACGGTCGTTCGGAAGCGTGTGTCAGCATGCCTACGTGCGCCGTGCGGTCGATAACAGAGGGTAAAAAAAAAAAAAAAAAGTAAAAATACTGTATAAAAAAAATGCAGCTTGCACTTCCAGTATCGTATCAAAACGAGAAGGACGTTTCTTGCAGCCTCTTATTTTCTTTCACAAATTAATATCCGCCAATGTAATTATGCCAGCTTAGCGTTCGCGAGCAACGTAAAAGATTGCAATGAGAAGCGAACCGCGACCGAAGAATATTCGATTTTGCTAGAGAGGAGCTGCGCAAACATGAGAGCTACAAAGTCTGCACCCTTTCGGAATAAAAGAAAAGACTGTCGGCATGGTACCGTCATACTAGCCGGAAACGTCGGCCTACCGATAAAAATAGAATTAAAAAAATGGGTTAATTCAACGCAAGTAACACTGGGTTGCGTAACACTGGAGAGCGGCAGCTAAGGAAAGGCCTTGAACATCTATCGAGAGAGAGAGAGAGAGCATTGGATTTTGTCGGACCTACAAAGCCTGAATGATGAGGAATACTAATCAAAGCCGAAGTCTAGGAAATTAGCGAAACCAAACTGCGCAATACTGCTTACACACAACACTGCCAGGGTTCGTTAAGTACAGCGGGCAAAGGATTCCAAGTTTGCAATACACTCGAACGGGGACACGAAGAAACGAACGGCGCAGCGTCCCATTATCAGCATGCAACGTCAAGCAAAGC